CAGATTGACAGGGCTGTGGGCAGTTAGTGGATTTCAGGCCGATAGGCATAGGAATATGAGAAAACTGGCCACTGTTTTATCCACAATTGATTTCATTTACCCCAGCTGAAGGCTCTGATCTAATAACGGTCTAAAAGATGTTATTATTCTAATTTCACAGTTCACAAAAATCAGTCGTCTTAAGGCATTTGAAGGCACCATACTGCGATTTCCTTAACCCAATTTTTCAACAAAATCACCTGTAATCACCAAACAAACTACTCTTTGATTATCATCAATTCAAATGCTGGAGCAGCTTACTTGACGGTTAGGAGCCCACAGTGGTTTCTGGCGGGAAAATTTAGTAACATCAAAAAAATTAGCTAGGATTTGCACTTTACCGCAAAGTCACTGCGTATGCTGACACCGGATTTCTACAACACCATTTTTTGATTAAGAATTGGTTATTAATTCACAGATCAAACCCATTCTTAATATAACTAATTTCACGCGTGTCGTTTTCAAATAAGTTGTGATTTTGGATGCACAAAAGTGGATAATATAAATATAAGGTGTTTTCATTTTGCCCGAATTTTATTTGACTTTGTATTATAATTGCCATAAGATCAGTTAACTTTCGCTATGGCTTGCATCATGAGGTGGAATCTTAAAAATGCAATTTCTTGCTCAATGCCACCGCTAAGGTTAGAGCAAAAACAAAACAGTCTACTGATATCAGGTTAGTCGTTTGAAATTTGGGGATAAGCTCACTTCGGTGGAAGGCCGAACGTCCCATGACAGTGTTTTTAAATTTATACAACCCAACCCATTTTATTCCATTTTTTTAAACTAAACAGCCCTAAAAACCAAGTGACCTTTTATAAGCTTGTTTAAAGACATTCATTTGTCAACGTCACGCCATTTAAGTAACTGGAAAGTCTTCGTTTTTTCTCAAGACAACACCTTGGATCTGGTTATAATGTGGGTATGTGAACGATCATATGCAGCCGTAAGAAACTAACACAATCCCTAAATCACTGAAGTGAAAAAATTGCATGTGGTCTTAAGGACAATAAATGGACGTCTGACGAAATTTTGTTTTCCTTGCGACTTAAACTTAGCGGTGGAACTAAAAAGCATTCCAGCGAAAGCTTGAGTTAAAGGAAAACCATTCAACCACAGTAGTCCCCAAAATAATCACACAATGTTATCAGATGAGTCTTATTAATTTTTTTACAAATATTTTCACAAACGCATAAAAGGCTTCCTTAACCCTTGTAAACTTGTTTGAAGGTCCTTCACAATATTGAAACCGACTTTTTCACAACGGAAGGTAATTATATTTTCATAAAAGTAGATTCGTCACCACAATTACTACCAGTCGAATTCCCTAATGAAATATGATATAGATTTTCTAGGGTTTGTTCTAATTCACAAACAATTAGGAGCTGTTAAATTAATGGCAAATCCAGAAAATCATATGTCACGCTATTAAATTAAGCAAAATACAACATATTGATCTCAAAAGGGTAACCAATTTGCAATTAACAACTGCGAGATTAACGCTGATCGTAAATTAAAAAAAGTATCAGAAACCTGAATAATTTACTTTGGTTAAATGCCTAAATTTTCACTATTTAACAATCACGAGTGGTTTTTCAGATCAGGCCAACCAAGTTTAATTGCACGGATAAGGTATTTCACCAAAATATGTGCGAAATAAAACACAAAAGTCAATTAATCAGTAAATATAAAATTAACAAGAGACACAAAAGAGATGTTTCGTATCAGAAACAAGAAGTAACTCGTCTATTTTAAGCGACAAACCAACGAAATAACCCAGAATAATTACAAAGCAAGTCATTTCTTCGACCACTAAAACTGTCCAAAGCATAAAATTAAAGCAAAAAATCCCAATCCTTCAAAGCAATACGGGTGCCGAAAGTGTTCATGAAGTAGAAAAAAGCATAATATTTAAAAATCCTAATTTCCTTTTGATAAGAAACCATGCAAATTAAAACGAGGAGTACACTGAAGAACCAAAAACATTTTCAACGGCAACAGAGTACATAAGGTCTATTAACTTCATGAAATCCATAATACTGAAAACTACAATAGTATTCCTCGTTTTCAATTTTTATGTTTGGAGATTCCAAAGCACCATCATTAACTATTATTTTCAGACCATCATCAGCATGAAAAAAAGTTGTCTCTGTCCAATCGATTTGAATTCTGTCAATAATACAAAACGAATACTGCCGTTCATGAATAAATGTAGCGTCAGTGTTGTGTTTCGAAAGTATACCTCCAATTAACACTAATGCGAGAATACCTAATGACATTTTAGAAATTCGACAGCTGTAATTCCGTTTTAGTTAAAACACACAATGGCTAGCACTAAAAGAAACTAACGTATCATTTGCTATTTACTTGATAAGATCTAAATTACTTAAATGGCATTAAATTTTACCAAAATCATCCCCTGGAGCTGAAGTGGTTTTGCAGTATATTTCAGTCAAATCAGTTTAAAATCGAAAAATTGCTCGAATTTAATAATAATCATCAAAAGCACAATAACCAACAAAAATCTAAGTGATTTCCCTTGACTTAGTGTAAAAATACTCAGCCTGTCTCCTTTTTGCCCTGTAACATTTAAAGGAATTAATGCAAAAAGTATATAGTTAAAGTGAAAATTAATAGAATTCACTAAATAAATATCATAAATCGATAATCATAAAATATTTCCTTGCATGATTTTTGAACCACAAGTTTTTTTCGTAGATGAATGATTAAAAGAAATAAGATTTCAAATAGATATACGATATTTTTTGCAGAATAACCCCAGTTTAAATAGATTAAGTAAGTTGGCACTTGAGAATGAAATAAATTTTAACCTGAGGCTGGTTAATAAAATCAGTAGAATCTTTAAAACATTTTCTTTAGTGTGTGAGGTCCATGTGCTCTGCTATTTTTCATGAACTCAGTACGCAACCCTTTTCAACTTTTCATCAGCTATCTCGAATTATATAAAACCGGTTCTATTTCTTGATTTTGCAAAAGCAATGGCTATTTCACTGTATAAATCGATTTTTTTAAAAGTCATATCTCGTTTTGAGTCGACAAACCAAAATAAATGATTAAATGAAGTGTGCTTAATGTAATAATTGGCAAAATGTTCGAAATTTATGGACGTTTTTGATCAAGAGGCTTTAAGAGATCTTTGTATTTAATTATAAAGCAAGGAAGTTTATTTGACAACGACCGGCTAAATGTGAAAACAAATCAATTATACCACCATGATTTATATTCATTTTTAGGAATACTTCGGCCGTATTTTTCGAGTGCTGTGACAAGACAAAACTGTAAAGAATTCAAAGAAGGAAGAGTTTAGCAAAGATTGTGGTGTATTGACAGTTTATTGCTCTGAGCTTGCTGTTACATCTGTAGCTGTATTTTGTGAGTTTTGACAACAGGGTATGAATGTTATTGGGGTGTCTACAAATAAATTTAGAGGGGTTCGATTAACAATGAAGGAACAATCCATGGCAACCATTGGAGTTTTTTGGGGTGGAAATGGTTTTGGGCTAAGTGGCTCAACAGTAGGTTAGTGAGATGAGTACATTTAAATATAAGCAGGCGTAATTTTTTCTCGAGATTTTCGACACTTCCCTCTCTTGGTTAAAAACTAGTACAATATTTTTTCGTTCAAGCCGACTGTAAGTTGTGTAGGCTAAACCAGGTGATAAGCCTTGGTAAAACGACCAACTGGATCAAATAGGAGACTCATTTACTACCAGATTTTAAACCAAAAACAAACCCAATATTGGGACCACCGTGCTATGAAGGCCCCAAATCAGCTACCACACTAAATTACTGCTGTTGCGGCCAAGTTCAGCACCATGATAAACAATCAAAAGCTTGGCTTAAGGTCGGTGCGGCTGTAGGAGCTATATGACGGCTTTTATTATCTGTTTTCTATTATTTGAGAAACCAAATAGATCTAGCAAATTGGATAGGCTGCAAAATTCTGACATTAACTTATTTATTCGTTAAAACTCTTGAAATTTTTAATTCAGAAACTTCTAGTGACCATATAATTTTCTCAAAAAAATCTTCAGCAAGAGTTTGTTTCCCTATGTATTTTAACAATTATAATTTTAATTTAGCTCAGGTAAATACGTAACTACACACCCTGAGTGGTCTCTGCAGCTTTTATTGTATCTCAGTCAGGAAGTCTTGTTAAAATAGTACTGAGGTCACGACAAAAAGAAAACTCCACACAATTACAATGGATTGCAGTCAGTGCAGTAGGTGTAGCATTCGCCATTCCTGCAAATATAATTAATTTTCGTTGATACAAGATGTTTGTGCCCTTAAAAATTTTAAGTAGAATAGACTGGATAAACGTCTTTTTTAGACAAGCTATACTTGATTTATAATTAATAGCAATTATTTAGTAACATCATCATAACTGGACAAACTGTTATACGTACAAAATAGACTGGTATTAAAACTTTTATGCACATTTTGATCACTTAAAACAAAAATTTGACTGCATCGTGGTTTTAATGCTTTGGATACCTTTTGCTTCGTTACTTCAGTTAGCAGTTTTGTTTGGAGTTAAAGCCCTTCTTCCGCTAATGTTTAACGAAATTTTTATATGGGGTGTTTGCATTGAATTTGTAAGTCTTCCTAACTAAGCCAAAATTAATTCTTCTTAAATTCACTTGATTTGATATGTCTATGAACAGACTATCATTGCCTTTTGACTTTTGCTAAAATATGCATTGCAAAACACTTCGATTTACAGACAATGCTTGTGATAAAATAAATAAGGTTTTATTTTAACCCTAAACTTCTGGGTACTTAGTGCCCCATCTTGCTTACAAAATTCATTTTGAGACAAATTTAGCCTAATTACAGGTCAGTACGCCTCGCTTAATTCCACAGATTAAGTCTGTAATTCCGCTACTGGCTATTGTTTACAGCACAAATTTCTTAATTAGGTTTATGTTTGTGTCATATGAAGGTTTATCGAAATAGATTTAACCAAGCATCCGCCATTAATTCAGTTTGGCTTCAACTGGTTTCAGTGGAATACATGTAGTTAATGCTAGGATAGTGTCTGATAAGTTGAATACCATAGCGATGAAAGCAAAGCAACGCCTTTAATATAATTAAGTATCTAGGAATACTAAAAATATAATTGGTAAGCTCAGGGTTCTTCAAGTTACCATAGTAGTCTCTGTTGAGGACATATTGTGAATCACGAAGCTCAGGGGGGCTGCAGGATCGTTTTGGTTGAGAAAATTTTCTGTCATTTGGAAAAATGGGAAGACCAATGTTCGTATGTGCCACGCGTTACTAGAGGACGGCTTCGACTAATACTGTGTAGGTAAACTAGCTTCAAGCTCATCTGGTGAAATTCTTTTTCTGTTTTAGAAATATTCATAGGGTATCAGTAACAAATCATGCGTTTTAAACCATGAAAAATCTTTCCACCATATAAGCGAATTTAAATCCTAGCTATACCGTCTATTTTTTTAAGCTAAATGTTAACATCGTAATCTATCACCGAAAGACTCGCAGGAAACGAACTTCAAAAAACCTGGCCTTGGTTGATGATGATCACGAGACGGCGCGCTCGGTTTAAAATTGTCTTTCTCACTGAATGGATACGAACGACTGTTTTTTAAATGCATTAAGTCCTCTTTACTTCACCTCATTTGAGGAATTAAAGAAAAAAATGAAAGAATTTGAAATAGTATGTTATATGCATATATTAATACGTTTTAGTCTTCGGGTGTGCAATACGCAATTAAACGGAGTATTCGCCTTGCCGATGATATACCGAACAAGGACGTATTTGTTTACAAATACATACAATATGTTTGTGGTTGTCAAAAGTATGTTCTTTTTTTACAGTAAACCGACCAAGATTAAATAATTGCCAGTCATTCGTAAATATATGTCACAGTTATGGCACGCTCCGCATCGTTCGCTTTTGGATGATTCACTCTCATTCGGTTAGTAGTCATATCGGAGATAGTTACTTTGGCCATGGTAAAAACGATGGCATCTTTTCGAATCCAATGCTGGTTGAATTACCAGAGGCTGATGATGGTAACTCCATTTTGTTTAGTCAGCGGAATTTAGATGATGATATGGCAACTGATCAGACCAGTGTTTTTCAAGAACACGTTCCTCTTAAGTCGTTTTCATCGTTTGCAGAATTGGAACGATTACTCCTCGCGTTCCAGCAGGTACTTCCTTTTCACATTTCTAATGGCTTAGTCCACTGGATGTCTACTTGTCAAGCGAAATTCTATACGCTATCCAGATAGTTCACCAGAGCATGAAACGTTAGTATACAAATCTATAACATATGCGTGTTGCCATTATGGAAGTGGCCGAAGTCTCCCCTCAAAATCGCAACAACAGAAGTAGAGAGAATTTTTTAAATTTAATTTATTAAGAACTCGAAAGATGAATTGTCCCTGTGTCATCAGGGTTGGTTGTCGGGGTAAAAAATTGCATATTATTGGATTTGTCATGCGTCACAATCATCCTGTAACAACAGAACTGGCTGAAACCTATCCTGAAAATCGTCGTTTAACCGAAGACGAAAAACTGGAGATAACAGATTTCCTTCAATCTGCTCCCGATAACCTAACTGTGAAGGAACACATCGAACGTATGTGGCATTTTATTCCCCAATGGATCACACTTTAGGTAAATTCGGAAAACCCTGTACACTTAATGATGTTCGCCAAATGAAGTACCGATTGCGGAAGCTTCAGAAGACCAGCAGTGCTAATCATGAGTCCGTCAAATTCGACCCGTCACGACACGATGACCAGGAGGCTGAATTTGAACTGGAGCCAGTAACAGAGGTGCCCGACTGGGCGGTTCAGTCAAAGGACCAAAGGCTCTCTCAGTTCGAGCCTTTTTCGCACCAATTAACAGATCTCGTGTGCTCCGCCGATCCAGACGTCTTTTGCGAGCGTCTTAATTTCATTAAGGAGCTTACACAGGCGTGGCGGAGCGGTAAACAGCCAATGCTGACGTACAGTGAGTCCATGCTGAAGAGCGAGTCGTGCGAGAGCCCTGTTGACACAGAAGTAGTCACCTCTGATCCTCCCTTCCCTTACACTAGACCCAGTAAAACGTACATGCCATTCACTTACTGAGCCACTTCCCTATTTTGTATTATTACTTTGTACATAGCTCACTATCCTTTGTGTAACTGTCAATCAACGAAGTAGTGTGTTTTTAGAACCAAAAGTCTGATTCCCATATTTGATCGTTAATGGGAAGTCGTTTTTATGTAACGCTTAGCTAATAGTACGGTACTTGCATATGTTGCCACGGTTCCACCCCACTGTTGAAGATTTTTTGACTTCCCGTCTTTAAATCAAGTGTTTACTACATTAGTGTGAGATTTTTTGAAGTAGCACGGCTATGTCGAGGCATTCCTCTAATCAGAATCCTTTATATTTAGCAATGACCGTATTGCGTTTAGAAATCTGTGAGAAAGCTTCTTGATTACGCGCTACCACTGAAATCAGTTTGGACTTTTTGGTTGTCTTCTGTGGACTGTGTTTTCACACCTTGTTTGCGTTTCGGATTCACCTAGCCAATAAGCTTTGTCCTCACTTTTCCAAAAGTGCATATCCTCATATTTAAGTAGATGAACAAGTCGTTGTCAAACTCCAACCAATGGAATTCGCCTGTAGCATTTGCTACCTTTATACTTCGCCATTCGCGGAAAAAGTCTGTTTTCTGAGTCTAGAACTCGTCTACGCGTATCAAGGAGTGCCTTATTTATCAATCAATTATACACCTCAAAAGACCTCACCACGATTGGGCCTCATAGAACCAGAAGGCTCTTCCCACCAACTGCGTAGAGTTATCCCTGTGTGAAGCTATTTGTGAATCAGATTGAGTGGGTTAGCTAGTTGAACCGTGTGGTTTTTGTCGAGCTTCGGAGCTGGAGGTTCCGGTTTTTTGTCCTCTCTAGGGGCACATTTTAGTGATCGAAGTGTCCAATTGCTAGATACACAACGTGGATATACGACGCCACCTCCTTATGCCACGTCTTCCAAAGTTTTAATGGGCCAATTTAGAAACCAGGCGCATCAGTTGACTTTGTTTATCATCGTGGTTATAAATCGTCGCTTGAATATTTTCTGCTAATTTGACCCCTTGGTTCACTTCAGTAGTGAGAGGGCGCTTGTGGTGTCTGGTGCATCACAGAAAGAACCGTTCAAACAAAGCGCTGTCGAGGTTTGTGACTTTCTCACGGGCAATTTATTAATCGGACGAATGAAAGTGGCCGTTTCACGGCCAAATAGACTCCTCATTGAGTCGTTGCAGGAGGCGGGTGTGTGTGCTCTTGCCGTTGGACAGCGTGTCCGCCCTGATGCGCGCCCAGTCGTGGGCGTCGAGGAAGCGGAACCAGGGGCAGGCGGGCGCTCGCGGTCCCTGGAGCAGAGCGCTGAGCAGGCAGGCCCCGTCGTAGACGGCTTCTTCGGCGCTTGGCGCGACCCGCACTCTGGGCGCGCTCACGCCTCTCGGTAGGAAACTCTGCACCTCCTCTGCTACCCTCACCCGCAGACCTGAGGGACAAAAACGTCACCATTACTTATATGAAATAAGTACACATTATTATCGAGATCGTCGCACTTAGACACCCACAAGTCATAGCAAGTACTTAAAGGCGAATTTATGAGGCGGACAGTTACAAAAAGGTATGAAGGGGTGTAAAACGTGGACTGCAAACCTTCGATGCTGGCGAAGTCACCCATGAGAAGGATGTTGGAGCACAGGGTGTGTCGGAAGTCGAAGTCACAGGCCTTGACGGCCTTCCTGAGAAGCCGTTTCAGCGACGGCGAGTTGCCGTCGAAGCGGAGGTTCTGTTCGGGCCTCAGCATGCCCTCGGTCGCGCGTTGGCGCAGCTCAGCTGGTATGTACAGTTTCCTAGTAATCAAACACAGGCTGCAGTAATGCGAACGACATGATGTGGCATTAGTGACAGACGCAGCAGCAAGCTTAATGCTCGAGATCACGTGATAGGCTTGTGCAGCTTCGTGACGTGACGGTGCCGTGAGGTGAGTAGCTTACCTTTCGGTTGGACACGGCGCAAATTCTGATAGATCGATCACGATGTCGGTGCAGTCTGTCTCGGTGTTATTGATAAATGCTGCCTAAAACAGAGAAACGACTGATGTTTAGGCGTCTATTACGTGACCAGCGGAAGGGACATTTATCGCGAGAAGGCGTCACTTTTTAGAAGTACACTTGGCATCGATCTCTGAACGAACATCGCTGTGTGACGTAAATGCAAGATAATCGATTGGTTTAGTGTCTACTCACATTTGGCAAGAGTTGTCGTGTATTGATCACTGTCACTGCGTGAAGTGAATTTTAAATAATCGATTGAATTCGGGTTTGTTCATGCTTTGTATTAATATTCCCGTATCGATCACCGCTGCCGCGTGAAGTGAATTCAAAAATAATCGATTGAATTCGAGTTTGCTCATGCTTTGTGTTAATTTCCCCGGATCGATCACCTGCTCCACGTGAAGTGATTTCAAGATAATCGATTGAATTCAAGTTTGCTCATGCTTTGTATTAATTTTCCTCTATCGATCACCGCCGCTATGCAAAGTGAATTCAAGATAATCGATTGAATTCGGGTTTGCTCATGCTTTGCATTAATTTTCCCGCATCGATCATCGTCGCCACGTGAAGTGAATTCAAAATAATCGATTGAATTCGGGTTTGCCCATGCTTTGTATTAATTTCCCCGGATCGATGACCGCCGCCACGTGAAGTGAATTCAAGATAATCGATTGAATTCGGGTTTGGTCATGCTTGGTATGCGTGTTAGCGTATCGATCACTGTCACTACGTGAAATGAGTGCACAACAGCAAATTGGTGAGTTTTGAAGGAACCTAACTATCACGTCGAGTTGGTTTCGAAAAGAAGAGATACCTGGATGGGATCTGGAATAAGTACCGGATCCTCACCTTTTGGAAAATGAATGGCCCATAGCATGCAATTTCCTCTGGAGACAAGTCGATTCCCGCCTCCACAACATCCATGAGCATCGCGTTTAACGCGTGTTCACCGTAAAGAACAACACTTGACCGCCCTTTCTCCACAAGACTCCCTGCAACAGAAAGTGAAACGCATTAAAAATTGCATGAAAACTATAATGCAACAGATGCAGGCTGCTGTGGTTCCAAAGTGCCACTAGGCCTGTTTCCTAGATGCCCAACGATGGACACGTCTAATGACCTGCAAAATTATGAGTGGCCTGCGATATCTACCCCACACTCAACAAGGCATGAGTTCATAGTATCCCACTTCTTCGAGATACGGGCACTGAAGGACTACCACACACTGCCGATACGGGAAATATTGATGTCACGATTGGTAGTGATTGTTATTTGGCGAAAAACTGAGTATTTGTATCACAATGATTTCTAGACGTCATTTCTGTTTGCAGTTAATTAGCTCAACACAACATGAACCATTATTTTCCAAGGCACCTAATGAACGAGCGGGAAATGTGGAGTTTTTGTACCAGGGCACGATCAACACAACCTTGACGATCGCTGTTGTTCTCACGGAAACACACCCTGGAAGTCACTAAAAGGCATGCAATTGACGGTGAGATTCTCGGGTATGTCAATGGGCTTGATCACACGACCGCAGAATGACGTACCCCCGATCTGGAATGTGATCTTTTGATGGCTCAAGTACGCGTGAACTCACTGGATTACCAAGAGTGGAAAATGAAACTACTCGACAAGCGTTTCCATTGGCTACCTTCGACGATGGGCACGATTTCGAGGTCAGCACCGATGCAGACAACGAGGCAGGTGGGCGCCTTGGCGGTTTGAAGTGCCGCGCGGAACGCGGAGATGGTGGCCACGGCGTTCACCCCGCCGAACTCCTCGGCCACCGAAGCGGGGCCCAGAAGGAACTCGAACAAGCCCGTACGAAGCGCCGATGCCCGCGTCGGCAGGCAGATGAGAACCTGTCCAGATTCAGAGTTACGCACTGGTGTGATTGGCTTACCTTGTATTCCTTTGGATCTACCTTCAGTCTCTTGATTATTTCTCGCAAAATGTACTTTTCTGTGGGGATGCCACCGAAGTAAGTTGGTCCCTGCAAAAAAAGAATCCCAGTAGCATCAGTGTGTCCGTTCGCCGACTTCCATTTAAGCATAATTTCTACTACGTTTGAGCTGGTACACTTCCAATTCAACTGACAAGTTTGTTTGCCAAGCGAAATACATGAAGGTACAAAGACGAGCTTGATGCGTCATTGTAGGCTTCTAGCTATGATCTTTGAGCACCAAGACATCGGCTTTTGGATCTGTCTTGAATCGTGTTTATTCACACCCATTAATTCGGTCGACACAGGGTTCCCCTTTTCGCAGCATGTCGCCAGCAGTGCGGATCCTCAACTCCCTCCCCATTCACACTGATATTTATCTTGGATTATCCCCACACCTAGCGCATGTATGACTCACACATCCGAGGTATAAATACACACGCGCATACTCCAAACACGATACAACACCAACGTGATTGAGCTCTGAAGTAAACGGTCGTGTCCACGTCCTCTCTGCTCTTTTTCTTCATCGAGGGTATCAAGGAAACGTAATCGGACCAGGGTTGATTTCGTGGCCCCGGCGTGGTTCAAGACCACATGCTGGGGCCCACAACAAACCGGGTATGATAAGGAAGGTTTGGACGGAACGACAAGTCGACGTGAGTTACACCATCTCTCAGAATTGCAGAATTTACGATGGCAACCGATAAACAGTAAATTCGATGGAATTCCAACAAGGAAAAAGTGATTCTAAGGCACGCAAATCAATTTGCAATGTTCTTGGTGCCGACGTTACGTTTAGAAATACATACATTTGTTGGTGAAAACGTTTTAGAAGTGGTGAAATTCGATCTTAGGACTGCAGCCTCGAAAGTTTGGAGATGCGGAATTGCTAGCTCTAATGGATGACGACGTAACCAGACGTATTAAGAGCTTGCTGCTCAGTTAGGAGTCACCCAAACAGCAATTTCCAAGCGTTTGTATCAAATGAGAAAGATTCAAAAAACTTGGAAGTTGGATCCCCCACGTGTGCTGATCGAATGCAACCTAGGTCAACAAACGAGCGCAAGCCTTTCACTGCTTCCCCGTCGGCAATAGGCTGTGAATGGACCTCCTGTAGAAAATTGTGACGGTAGATCCTGGGCAACTCAGTACATCGACGCCGAAACAGGACATCCACTTGAAGAGGAATGTTCCCGTGTGTATCTAGTGGGACATGAAATGTGCACTTTATTACGAACTCCTGGAAGTCGGTCAGACGGTGATTGAGTTACTTTACAGCCGACAGTTGAACAAAATGAACGTTACCTGAGGCATGGCACATGGCCAATATATCCAAGACTAAGTTCGTTCTTTTACTTTTCTTACCATAAATAAATTTGCGAGAAAAAACATGTGAAAGTCAAGTCACACACCTAATACTTCCGCCAATGTCTGAACTAAGAAATTACAGTCATGGCGATTGCGTGTCTTCGCATGAAAGCGACGTTGGATTAACTTACCGTAATCTGCTTTTGTCGTAGTGGGAAAACGATAGGTGACTGGTAGCCCTGGACGTGGTTTCCCAGCACCACATTCCGCAGCACGTCTTCGCCCACCGCTATTTCCGACGGTGAGTCGCCGGCGATAACGTTGGGCAGACAGATGTCTGGTTTAGCGGCTACAAAACGGGCAAAAACTTTAATGACTTGGGCTCAGTCATGTTCTGATTAAGTGCCAAATCACGAATAATGTATCTGCAGGCATTGACTTTTAGTCCCTCAAATCGCATTCCCGTTGTCGAGACTCAATAATCCAATCTAGGTAAATCATTGGGGGGTTGCTGTGGCGCATTACAGACCTTAGCGAGCAGTTAGATGTGGCGATCTGATTGGTTGAGTGGGCAACCAATGATCATCCAAGGTTTTCATCTCCGCGTGCAGCCAATGAATGGTAGCCTACTTGACGGTTGTATAAAATGGGTCGAAATTCGAGTCGGTTTTGTCGATGTTAATCGAACAAAGTGCAGTCTCTTACATTAAAAGTGCACAAAAAATCGCTCACAATTCAGAGTCCATCAAGCCCAAGGCATAAGTGATAGCGAAGAAAATAAGACAATGACCTAATGCATTCTGGAATTTGGCATTTTACAGAACCAATATTGGCTATGACGATTTAAACAATGACTAAAACCACTATGCAAGAAATTTTGCCCTACGGCTTAGTGAAATTAATCTATTAGCGTTTGAGACGCTGCATATGTCTCGTTTACATCAAATCAAGACTGCTGGATCACGTTTACAGCATTTCAATAGAATATGCTCTATTTAACCTAGAATTGGGACCCACAATCTCCTCGGCTGCTTCACCTGCTCCTCATCTCTCGTGGTGGCTAACAAGGTCCCACCAAATCCTTGACGGTCATTTTAATTGGTGCAACTGTAATGATCACAGAGGGGTGACTGCGGTTGATGGCTTGAATGCTGCACCTTTACGATTTAAGTCGAAGCTACGGTTTGCAAGGCTTACTCTCTGTAACCATTGGTCTCAGCGATTCGTAAACTTTTGATACTTTCCCTAAATCGTTCCACATTTTGCATTTTCTGACGTTAATTTAACCCCGATTGCTTAGAAGTGTGATTGGTGATTGTCTGGCACATCGTTAAGTTAATGCGACTTGTTTAATACGAGAACAACTGTTTCATAGGGGCACTTTGAATTGGTAAAATCATGCGCGAGAAATGTGAGGACTTACGTTGTGTTCTTAGGAATCCTGCACGGATGAAGTAGTGTCCCAAATCGATAATTATGGTCTTCTGTTGAGAAATGTTAAAAGGGAAGGAATTGAGAGGGTTTCTCATTGGATGTGACCAACACGTTTATCTTGTTAGCTAAAACACCCCAATAACTGACTAATTCACACTGGTCTCGAATAGCGAAACCACCAAGATTTATTCACATCGTGAAGAACAATGTTCGGAGACCTCAAATGATAGTACGGCTGTAAGTTTCTTTGATTTGGTTCCAAAATACTCGGTCGTTAGGATTCGGTTACACCAAATCTTCTAATTACAGCGCCTGTTTCTGTTCTAATCGGTTTATAAGTAAAACGCTTATGAGCTGCATTTCCTGTCTTGAAACTGAATGTTCCGAGGTTTGGGGATACGAATTAAGTAAAACTTTGAGTATTTTGTGATAATCTGGCCGTGGTATTGCCAGCAATAAACAGTCCAGTTCGAAATTGAAACTAATTGCATGTTCTGCTAATAAAATCAACGCCAAACCCCAGAAATTGTTTTACTTAATGACCAACTCATGACTTGAGGTATCTCTACAGAAGTCGGTCATGTGTCAACACACCGGAGACGAGTGTAACTTCATACCTTTTCTGAAAGCTGGACAGGTCTGGCGCATCTTCCACCAGGGGTCACTCGTTTTGAGGGCCAGACAGTTGGAGACGCTGCATTGTCACAATTTAAAGAAATTGTTCCATCCGAAGTATCCGAAGGCGGTTGGGTGAAGGTCCGCTACAGCACAACCACAAACGCCTTTGAAAATTTCGGAACTACATTCGTTTGAATTAGGTCCAGCTCGTAATTTAGGGAAAAGCTAATAATGGTGGGAAAATTTTGAGTCCACTAGGACATGAGAATACGAGGAGACGAATGTTAGAAAGTCACGTGCCAATTGGCGTCGTTGCCAAAGCCTCAAAATCAAAACAACCGCGTGACCTCTGTCAACTAAATATTCTTTCATCAACCAATCACAATGTTTAGAGTCACCAGTTTGAGTTTAGCGTAGTTATGGAATCTGAGGCCTCGAAAAATCTTGCTGTCGGAAAAATCACAGAGGAATATCACCACAGTCGCGCACGTCAGTGAATTTAAAAACTTAATCCGTGATAAAACGTGACCTAAGCAGTAGAAATAAACACCTGCCGAATTGAAATCGATTCATTTGTCGCGCTCATTTGTACAGTGAAATCGATACTGTGTTAGTCCTCAGAATTAAATTCCCGCGACCAGGTACTTGTACTGCATGATGTTGATTTAAACAAGGAATAATTTTAAACTCGTGGAACATTCGACTAAAAGGCCTTAGCCGCGCAAACTACATTTACCGTAAACAAGGGCAACCAAAGTAATCCCTTGTCATCTTCTTCAAACTGTTCCAGTCACTAATTTTCATAACACATTTTCGCCCGTTAATTAAGTTTCTCCCCATTTTTCACGACACACGAATGATATTATCAAACACACTCGGTGAATCATCTGGTTTGGCTCAAATTCATCGCGCGTGTGATCAACTGCACTAATTTAATTGGGTATCATTGCTGAATCTTTTTTTACGTCTAAGGGTTGGAGACTTTTGGAAAAAAATGATGTCCCGACGAATGATTTAAATAGAACATTGCATTTCTCATCATTTGGAAGGGATAAAATGGCTTGATACAGTTTTAGAATTAGTTCTCGCCGATGACCGGTGAATTAGGTGGGTTCTGTGTAAACCCAAGTGGACAGAAGTCTGTTCAACCTCAATACCACTTCAAGGCACACTTTCGTACAATGAAAAGTAACTTAAAGAATGACTTGAAACGATACGCAACAATTGGTAAGCACTGAGACAGCCACAAGAATTACCCAAGTTAACTTACACGAGTGCCTAGTGAGGTTTGCCAAGGCACATTCACGGGAGTTTGTCGTGCCATTGCCGTGGGAACCACTGAATTCGTTTTGGGCTCCGCGTTTCTTGCAGATTCCTAGGGAGAAAGGTCGGTAGCCAATTTCTCGTAAATACAATCGGCTGCTTGTGATTCACGCTAACACTCCCGGCAAATTCTGCCAACTACATTTCAGTGGGTTCAACATGTGAGCCTCGTGAGAAAATGCTCCTGCGAAAAACTGAGGGCTGCCAATCAGCATGCCACTGCCCCCATGTTTAACGCCGTTCAGTTCTGTGGCAGCGTGCTTACCTCGCTTGCCGTAGATAAGGCTCGCATTGGAATGCTGCTTCTACCATCGCTAACGATGGAGTTCCCGTTTGGCCTCTGAAAGTGGCAAAATCTGACATGTTGGTGGGGCGAACAAGGGGTAACTCTCAGTACTCGGCAACATGTCTCCCAAATACCTCGTAGGAATTTGATTCTGCTCCGTGTTTTACCACTGAGCACATGTGATGTCAATTCTAAGGCATGTTCATCAAATCTAACACGAGTCAGAACACATGGACAAGGAGATAAATCGTTGAAGGCATTCAAATGCTGCGGGACTGTACTGCAGTCTTTGTAGGCCCAGTGACAGTGGATTTCAACTAGAGTCATCTCGACAGTTTTCCAATCTCTGTTTTCCAGTAAAATGAGCGTCCTTATTTTAAGGATTCGCTCTGAAAATTGGGGCTAATTTGGGGATTTCAACCAGTTCTGGCATCGTTTTTGCTCAGAGCTTAAAAGGAGCAGAATTAGCACCTAATAATGGCGTTTTCACGATAAGTTGTTGTTCGTGGTGGTCCCATGAATTTTACCCAATCCCGGTCAACCATTTAAATCTGGATTCTCGAAAATTGTAATGCTACCCAGTTTTACTGCATAACTTTCCTTACTGAGTACACTAAAATGTGCAGAAGCGAATCACATAATGTTGGGGAGATAATTTCAACAAAACCCCATCGTAATTTTACTCTCAAATCAACACTAATAGAAAATTCACAAACTTACTTCCGGACCGTAGAGAGGACCGAGCTCAACTACGAGCTCAATCCAGCGACAATCATCGAGCACACACTTTGCTCCTGTCACACGAATCACAACCTCTAATTTTTATCCCTCACAGTTAGAGATCTGCACACCTCCACAATATCGTGTGTGTTAATCATTTACGACGTGGGTCTGGCAGCCCAATTAGCGGTCGATTTCTCATCGACACTGGTCTTATTTGGGTGAAAATTTTACACCACGATGAAATAAGCATCAACTTTATGGGATTACCCAATTTTTTGGACTACCCCTTACTGAGCTGTCCTCAATGAATTCCCTTATTGATCGCTAGAGTGAACAGCTTTCAGGTTTGGTGTTTTGGTTTGCGTTCATCGATTTTTTGACTCCATGGCTGTGAGTCACACACAACATGTGCGCATACATTGTTGATACGCATTGGCGCACAAAACGAATTGGTTGAGTTGCCCAAAAAACACAGATACATCTGTTTTATTTCGTTTTCGCTTCTGGGGATCAGAGTGGCATGTCGACGAGTATGACAGAAGAAACAAACGTACGTGTCCACCGAAAATTGGAGTGGAGGTGACGATGCCATTAATGGTCTTTTCGGAAGTCCTTGAAATTCGAGTCTTCAATGAGCAAAAATACAAGTGGCGAGGCTTAAATTGTACGAATTTAAGAGTTTAGTAGAATATAAACCACACTTTGTTATGATTATTAGCTTTTATATCGAACAAATAATATGGTCTTTCAGAAAAGGTAATTGCCGGACCGAAAATTCATTTAGGGGGAGGTAACTCATTTGGTAGACAAAACGCAAAAGTCGTTGGAAAAACCAGACTCCAATAATCAAATAACATTGCTAACTCATGAATGAAAAAAAACGTGATTAGTTTTCGGCTCTAGTTAACCTGCAAATGGGCATGGCGCCATTTGATTAAACCAATCACGTTTGAACGGCGTTGATGCTCGGATGTGTAAATAAATGGTAAAATTGTATTTTAGAATCGACAAAGTGGTATCCATCATCCCTGATATTGTTATCTACGTATCGTTACAGTGCATCTGGCATCGGCCCTAAATTAAGTCATGCATAAATCTAACCACCTTACTTACTTAAACATCAAGATCTATTGGCTAAAAAAGTTACCGGAAAGACAAACTGGATTGGCTAAAGTCCTGCTAAGGGGACCAATCAGAATGATGCAGATGACTGCTGAGGTCTGCTTTTGAATTATCGCCAACAACGCTAGTTCAGTGACGGTGTAGATGGGGGTTCGGTGTATTTAAATTCGATTATCCTGCTTTCGTTAAGTCACAAGTTTTCACAGTCATAAGGGAAAATTTTGAGGCATAATTTAAGTGCTGCATCGTATCTGGGAGTAACTCAGTATCTTGAAAACAGAGATGCAATTCATTTAATATTCTGAGGGGGTATTCAGGCGAAATCTACAACAAATTAATCTACACAAGAGCCTGGTAACTTGAAAACCTGATCACAAACACCTGTGCGATTTAAACACAACGTAGATGTCGAAGTTAACTGGACAATGTCCAGTTTATGAAACTTGTCAAATTAATTACCGCAGACGCAAGAATAGGTGGCTTCCAATAGCCGTGCTTGTTAACTTTCATTCATATTCGTTTTAACGATCCATCTCGGATATCGATTTTTAGACACAAAGACGTACAGCATTCGCTCGTTGATAAAAACCAAACACCTAGTAGAAAAATTAGAATGGACTCAAAGTGCTCGTTGAAACCGGCGCTGTAAAAGTTTTCTTTAAAAGAATTCGCCTTTAATTTTCATTTACCTACTTTGTTTTATTAGTGCGCGCTGTGATTAGTTAAATAAATGGATCCGATAGGGTTTAAATCGAGTAACCGGAATTCGGAAAGTCTCGTAGTTAGAATGAAACAGGATACAACCTGAGCTTACCTCCTCAAGGGACGAGTAAAAATCACTCTGGTTTTCGGGACTATCTTGGTTCATTCTAATAACAAAATTGTTGCCTGAATTTTCAGACTGGGGGGTGTTTCGCGATGGTGTCACGTTGGTTGGACCAAGCTGAAAAGTGCAATAACTTGGAAAGCCACACTTTAAAGATTATTAAGCACAATATTCGGAGGAACGTACCTGCTTCTGTAGTGGCAAAGATTGCAGGCTAATCTGATTATGTACCAAATTAACATTGTCGGTATGAATTCGGCTTCTTGAAATAGACGCGGTTTCCTCTGTTAAGGTGTTTGGTGTCTGGCACTATGCGAAATAAGGAAATGTGCGCGTTAATTCAAAAATTTCAAACATTTTGGCCCAATTCCTCTTAGCGTCTTGCAATTTGAAAAATAGTTCATTTGATTGAGTTGGAGATTTTGCATCTCCAAGACTAATAATGTCAAGATTTATGTTTTTTCCAATCAACAGCGTTTTATGCACACCAACTTTCGTATTCATATCCACCGTCTTCTTCCTATTGGCCCACCCACCTTTAAGTGGACTAATTCGCCTACTTGTGCCCAAGGCCGCCTACGCCAAATGCAAGTGGACACGCTGAGGGTGGATCATACGTTCTCTGTCTGAGAGCTAGCGTAGGAAACCCAATCACGTGCCATCTCACGTATCGATTGTTTGTGCTCGGGGCCTTGTGTTTGTGTACCGGCAAACCGCACCAGATTGTAAGCAAAGCTACGCATTTCCTATTCTGATCTTCAATAGAAATTACCTTGTTGAGATAGTCCATAACTGCAAATCGATTTTGGTCCGGAATTTCAATGGTGTTGTCACTTCCGTAAAGTGACACCTAAATGTATAGACTCGAGCATGTGAATAAAATTGCAATTAAAAACAAAAAGACGATAATAACTAGAATCTGGAAGACTTCCATCGTGTATTCAATGCCTCGATTGCTAATGAGGTCACAGCATTTTGCCGGAATGTTTTGTTTTGTTTTAACGCTGCGCTTTGAACGTGTACTTGTTTAAGTGAGTTTGAATGCGAACCTCATGCAAAGAAAAATTTTGCTAAATTCAAGCATTTTTTTTCTAATTATAAGATGAGACATCTTAGAAGTGACATCTCCAAAGATCGAATGATTTTTATTTCAGTAAGGCTGACAAAATCTAATTTGACATTTTGACGATTTCAGGGTTGCAGAAATCATCTAATTAGTGATTAGTCTCAAAGTGATGTTACCGATTAAATAAAATATGTCAAAATTCATGACCCCTACTGTAAAATCAAATATTTTTTGTCATGATTTGTTTTGTTTTACTATACTGGCTTCGTTGAAGCGCTATTCAAAACGAACAACAGCGCTATGTTTCACCATTTACTATTTGACATATGTTGTTTACTTTATTCCCTGTCGTAATATTTAATGTTTAGGATAACCGGCATGAAATGTGTTAAATTCCGGATTGCAATTGTCGCTTGTAGATTTTCCTTATGTCTATATGTTAGTTTTTCAAACCACTATTATTTACACTGATTCCTCGACTCAGGATGGAGATCATGCATGGCGATTTCACTTATGATACACCAAAGTGGAAATGGAAGATTCCAGATTTAGTCACCAAGGCAACTGACCTTAGCTGAATCAGGAGATAGGGTTAGATTCAGGGAATTTCGGTCAACAGGAATCGTTCTTGGCGTAAAACGCTGATTCATCTATAAAATTAATTCCTTTAAGTATGGGTTATATGATCACTTGATTTCAGTAGGCTTTTAAGTAGTGCAATAGCACTCGGGGTTGCCTAATCGAAAGTTTCATTCCCAAAAGTTATATTTAGGCTTTTTTTAGTTGAAACGTACAAATATGCAGTGAATGTTATTGATTCACGTCCATCAATCTAGTTGCTGTAGTATGCAGCACACTGCCCCCTCCCCAGTTCAGCCAATGGGGAACATGTGCTCTCACGCACTCCAGTGCACGCGCCTAACCCCTGCTATCGATTGAACTCTTCTGGCCAATCAGATACTTGCACGCTACTGACCAATAACCACATTAGGCATACACCACTGCGAGCCCACGCGCTCACAGCACAACTTCGTTGAGCTGTCTGGTAGACGGTTGTGTCTACTTGCTTTCTCGCGTACCTGATTCGACGCAATGACTCCGGCGTGGCGGGGCCCTCAACAAATCCTTGTTTTAAAACAAATTCCTTTTGCACAAAAAAATAAGGACAAAGCGCTGCCACCTTTTTACCTCAACGGGAATGTAGTAGTCCTGCAGGATTTCGTCGCTGTCTGAGTCATCATCGGATAACCATAGCTCGCCTGATGTGATCTAAAATGTATTGATTCAATGTATTGATTTAATAAACACATGCGAGATCCGTCATCCAACCAATGAGGCACAACGTTGTGAGCAGGAATGACGCAACCTGGTGTATTTTGAAGTGATTTGCGTGACGCCGCTTAATTAGGACTTCCGCTATAAGGCCCACTTGAGAAGACAACAGACCCTCAATCAATCATAGCATAGAAAACACTCCCCACGTCATTGATGTAGCTCAATAATCACTTCGCCCACCTTTACTCTACTTACCGGCACATACCCAATCAATTAATGCGGTTGACTTCAGTGCATGCGTGAGTGTTTCCAGAAAAAAAATAACAAATTAACTGACGTTTTTAAGCTGCAAAGTGTGTTTGGGCTTAAATAAGGAGAAAATTTACTGTTTTTGGCGTGAATCCTCCATTTGGTAATACGGCATGTCGTGAAGTGCTGCGTTTTCTGTTCGGAGATCTTGAACGATCATTTGGCCAGATGGTGTGTTCAAATCGTTGTTGTGAATTAGACTAAAGTAAGTCAAACAAATCGTTTTTGAAGATGGGTAGAACCACAGTCCTTATTTTAATGGTTGCAATTCCAGAACATTCAGAGTGATTTTAGTACTCCCAAGGCCATGCTTTTCATGATTTTGAAAATTTGCTTCTTTTACTCATCATTCGTGTTTGTGCACACCAATGCATTTTCAAATTGGCCGGCCTCTCCCTATTGGCTCATTCATTTTTAAGTGAACTATGTATGCGAACTGTACTCAAGGCCGCTGGAGACATTTTTAAGTTCCCTCGGCCGACGTCTAAGACAATAAAAACTATCTACATTGACTTATTCCTGCTTTTCATCTGTGGTAGTCTCCGTTATAATTATTGTCGCCATGGTATTCCAGAGACATACAACGAAAAATGTTAACACCCATAAATCATATTCGGATGAGCGGAAACACCTAATTACATGACGTACTCGCTTTGAGTAGTTCTTTTCCCTTGGTTTATGCATGGCAGAACGACTTCGGGCTACATTGTCGACATTCTTCAGCACCTTAGATAAGTTCCTCTTTGTGGTTTGTTTGTCCAGATCAGACTTTGAATTCAAGTCTATTGACACCAATGTTGCCGGTGAAGGCGGCTTTAACACAAAATCAAGTTGTCACATTTTAGAATTCACATTGAACTTAATATGCTCCTTATAAACAAATAGTAGCGGGTAACTAAATCGCCTGCAGACAGGTAAAGGCATGGGGGCAGGACATTGATGCATTTAAGATTCGTAAATAAAACGGTTATTTCTAGAGTATGATCGATTTACCAAACACGGACCATGGTTTACCAAATAGGTTAAGTTTCTTTTAAAATAAAAGACAGTAATTTTGTCGAAAATACCAGATATTGTAGGTGGAGTATAAATTAAATTTGAATTAGATTGGATTGTATCTGATTCGCCAAACCTAGTTCAAATTATATTATAGGGGTGGACTCGAATCAAATAATTTAACTTAAATGATCACACGGGTCGGGATTTTGTTTTCTAATTCTGCAAAATGCAACGACTTGCTGTGGCAACCTTGAAACATCGAATGTGATCCAGGTTGAATTTGATTGGTTGAAGTCGGAACCAATAAGAGCGCTCGTTTGCGATTCGTAGTTTGTCTTTAAGCAATTCTGGTTTAGCCGCAATAATCAGAGTGCTTTTGCATCTGCGTCTCATCTATGGCCAAAATTTTGAGTGGGACGAAATCCTCGCATTCTCCGAATGAAATTCTATTAAATGCTGGTCAGCTGTGTAACCAAAATAAGCCAAGCTCAGATGACGTAATGACGCACAATGATTAATATTGTTAGCTAACGAAACCGCGTAACCAAGTCGAGTGCCACCTCGCAATCTCTTGATGTCAGGAGGGCTAATTAATTTTCCTTGTTATCGGGGTGCGATTAGTGGGACTAATTGCTCTTACCGTGTGCGATCCCCTTGATTGTCGGTGTTTTGGAGTGCCCTGTGTATAAGTAAAAGTAATAAAAAAGGATCACAGAAAGATTTAGCAATGAATAAAGTTGATGAGAGAAACCACAAAACACCAGAAATGCATAACAAGAGTCCACACTTTCATTAACTAGAAACGGATCACTGAGCGCCATTGGTTAAAACAAAATTATCGATTACTTTTTTGGCAAGAGCAGCATGTGTAGCACCCATTTTTCTGTCACTAAATTGGAAAGATGAAACTATTCCCACGAATATAAGAGTGGGTTTGCTTCGAGGTAACGCTGTTGCAATTACCTGCCAATTCTCATGATTTTGGTGGATACGTTTGCAAAGAGACCCGTGGAGTTAGTGCAACCCTTGCTTACATTAAAACAAATACCTTTAGCAACAACATGGCGGAGTTTTGAAGTTCAGAGTAATTAAAATTAGTTTATAATCAAGTATGAGACACCAAATGAAAGGAAAGTTTATTAATTAAAAGCTTACCACTCTAGTATACGAATCACCATTGGCCTGTCTTCCGAGTCTCTTGGGTTCTAGGCCGTCAGTCTTCTCTCGTCCACCAACCCGAACCTTAAAATTATGCTTTTCTCTGTTCCCTGGGTAGATCAAGTACTCCTCGCCTACTTCCACTTGATCATCTTTAGGAGTTATAAAAAAGTAAGCAACCGATATCACCTACCTACAACCGCAATTGGTTTCTCATTGATTGCATATTTGTGTACCATGATTTTCTCAACAGAGTTCGCTGCTTCTGTGCCTAACTGTGAAAGAGTGGGTTATGGATTTGATCGTTAATACTATTATAATCTCTAATTGGTAGGAAAATGCCTCCAATGAGCAAATTTGCCTACATTGGCGCGCTTTCACATCGAACCGCTTATGCACAACATGTACTCAAACTACAGAGGTAAATTGTCATCAAAAATTTCCAAGTTTTACATTAAGATTAGTAGGATGCACCTGGCTTGAAGACTGATTCCTGCGTACTTAGAAAAGTGTACATAGAAAAAAGTAAAACAACATTTATTGCAATAAACATTTTGTACTGACTGCTAACGAGGTAATGATGCTCGTATATTGTGCGCTGATGTTTTAGTCGAGATATAACGTTTATTATAATTAGACACGAATTTGCACAAAACCATTTTCACGATCTTGGTACAGAGTATTTGAATTTCCAAGGAGGTCTAACAGAAAGCTGCAGCTAGATTTGTGGGTTGTTAACTAGCTCAATGACGAATCAGATTCGTATTGATTTTCTAGTACGATGAAGATGACATCCACTTGATCATTTTTCGAGGCAACTCCAAAGCAGTCCATCGTGTTGGCCATTGGTTTCCACGCTGCACATCTCAGCCAATCAGAAGGTTGTGTTGGCCATCGATTTTTAAACCGCTCTCAAACGCTATCCTCATTGGCTACAAGTCAATTTTATTTTAAATTTAATAGAATTTTATATACTGACTGTGAATCTAACTCTTTCTTGAATCAAGCTTCACAAATACTTGTAGAATTATTTCCTGATAAACTCGTGACATCAAATAATTTAATTACCGTTTTTTTTTCAAACACGATCTGTAACATTGCTGCAGGCAGCAGACATTAGAAATTGAATTATGAAACCTGCTAAAATAAACCTCAGATGTCTAAAATTCTATTGCCATTTTTTGATGGCATGCTTGAGTGATACTAATTCAGGATGCAATCTCAAGCTTACCATTACAGCTACGTTGTAGGATCAATTTAGAAAGCGAATTTTTACCACAGATGTGTTTTTCCAAATCAGAGCGACAATTTGACTGTATTAAAACAGAGGATTATGGGATTTTGTATAAAAATGGCAGTAGACATAAGTCTTAAATTAAGCCACCTCAACTTTTCATAAATTTTTTTTAAAATTCAGTTGGCCCGGTATTTACGTGGCAGGTGAGGCGGTAATCACGAACTGACTAGAAAAACGACTTAGGCATGGATTTATGAGATAGTTATAACCAAGTAATGTACTGTTCATCGAGTTAGTGTAAAATACTTGTGCCCACTACCTTGAGGTAATCTAGCCAAATCGCGAACCGACGATTCACTTTGAAGGCTGGTCACTTTAACAACTAAACTGCATCAGGTCATGTAACATCCTATTTGCTTGTCTCCTATGTTCAACGCATTCTCACCTCTATAATTATCACTTTTACATTTTAATAATTAAATAATTATTTACTATCTAAAGTATCTGTTTGCACTGATAGTTCCTTGAAAAAAAACATTTTTCTAATTTCTTACATTCTCATGCTTTCATTAAAACGGTTGATTTTTGTTTTAAAATAAAGCTGACTGCTGAGAATGTTGAAATTAAGGTAATTTCGATGTAAATCTACAATGGCTAAATCGACCCACTTCAATGATATATGAAATCACACGAGTTAACAATCGCAAAACAAACCTCACTGAAGCATTATTAAAATTACGAATAAACGTGTTACATTTGCGCAAAATTATCTCACCTCATTGCTGGGAGAGGTCGCAGCACTTCTGAATAATACAGAATGATTGGCAATTCACTAGAGGGACGCATTTATAGGCAATGAATTGAAAAAAATTCATAAATGATCGCGCTTTTCATGGTGTTTTACGTTCATCAAATTAATATATGGGAGTCTTTCAGCAATGATGCAATTAATTTCGAGGGTCTTCAAGTGTGAAATTTCACTACCGATGTCTTGGTTGCATAATTGAGGATAGAGGACATCAAGGTTAACTCATTTAATGAGGCAGAACTAGACAAAAAATGCGAACACCCGCTTTATTCTAATCCCTTAATGAATAAGGAGATTAATAATTTAATTTTGGATGAACGCTTGGTGGCATTAGACTCTACTCGGTTCAAAATAGTTCCTCAACAGAGTGATTTCGTCGAAGGCAGTGGTTCAAATATTCCCAATTTAACAGTCCTACATGTTCTTCGTAATTAATGGCGGCCATGTAAAGTAATGAGACGTCATCATTTTCAAAGGTCTGTTTGGTATAGAATTAAATGTGAATCAAGGGAAAACTATTTTCAGAGATACGTTGCTATACCTATCAAACTTTGGCACTTGATCTTTTGGTTGAAAATCTACATAAGTAATCTGTATTTCCCTTCCGGGGAACTACCACAGTAAAAGCCACAATTAAAGAAATTACAGGTCATATAAAAACGATGAAATGTCATATCTTTGAATTTAGACCTCCTTCGGAATTCAAATCCGCTGTGCCAAGTCCGTGGAATTGATATTTTGCAAATTCGTGTTTAATTATCTTAAACCCAATATGTGTTCTCTTTGATTTGCCTCCTTTGTGTCTAAATTTGATTGGTTCTCGATTATCCAATCACATTTGAGCTAGTCTCGAGATGATGTCCAATAGAGGTTAACTGCCGGTGTTGATTGCTCCTGAACACTTCTTAAAAACGTTTTTGCTTAGAAATAATAAAGGCCAGCAATTTACACGGAATACTGAGGCATCAGAAGTACAAAAATTGAGCTTCTGATTAAACATCTCAGAATACACTAACATTTCACTGAAGCTTAGTAACCAATCCAAAAAGATGCAGTGGGCATCTCAAAAAAATTGATATTTGTTAAGAAAACCGCTAGATGATTAAACTAGCATAATGCGGGTTTGTCTGACAACCACTCAAGGTATGTTTAGCTTCGTCAGCAGCAATTACGCTTCCATGATGCCGACCGGATTTTGCAATTATCGCCGGTATGTGATTAGATGAATAGCCATGAATCTTAAAGATTTTCGGTGTTTATCGCATTGATACATAAATTTTAAAGAAAACGTTGACCTGATAAAGTATTAAGTAACTAACAGCAAGTCATCATATATATTTGAAATGGATACGTGGAATATTGCTAAGAAATGGCTTCTATAAAATTCAGTTTTCAAGGATTCTCGAAGCTTCAACAATGTAGGAATTCAACATGTTGCCTTTTTATTGTCTGTAGTAAACGAATAGTGCTTTTTACTTATCAAAGAACACTGTGGGACAGTTATGTTGGTGTTGTCCCAACATCATTTCATAATTTAGGAGACGAAGCAAAACTGGTTTTGTTCTGGGAATGCTGTTTAAAACAAACATTTATGCCGAAAACGGACCAATAAGAGCTGAGGCTATTTGAAGACTTGCCTGTTATTGCAATGGCACACGACGTAAATACGGGACAACCTGAAACTAATGGATAATCGAATTACACTAGTTTTGACTTGGGTTGCATTAATACAGATTATGACACCTGATCGACCTTCTATTTTCCTCAATAACAGCAGCGCACAGCCAATTCGTTCATTTATGAAGGTCTTTTATTCGATAAGCATTCAATTGTCGCATCTGAGCCAGAGAATATGGTAATGGTATCTGCATATGCTAGAACAGCTTGTCATGATTTCACTTTAGCACTAACTTACAACCATCCAGTTACGAGCCCATTAAAACCAGGGAAGAGAAGGAAAAGGGGCGACTAAAAATACTACTCTTTATTAGCCTCACACACTATACAACAAAACACCTCACTTTGCAGCTGGGCAGCAGATTTCATTCCTCATTTTTTACTTTAAAATTAAGGCTATGAAAGCCTGCTATAGTGACTCAATGAATCATATAGTCGTGTATACGGTAAATTATGTTGGTTATAAGTAGTAGGTGCTTGGTAAACTTTATTAGGAATGTTACCATTTCAGCAAAATCATGCTCCAGAAGCAGCGAAGCTGGCAAATTTGCATTATTACAATCGTGTTAATAATAGGGGTAACAGAAGTTGCTACTTCTAATCCTCAGCTCTTGGCTGGTTTTCAAACCTTTAGAAAAAAGCATTTATTCACAATTTCAAAAATATCAACATGGCTTAATGCGACTCTTTAAATGACCATTTATAATGAGTTATTAAACGTGTTTGATATTTTTAATCATTAAATAAACAAAGAAGACGAAAAATTATTTGTTTCGCCAAATCTAACTTAAACGTTTCAATTAACATATTAAAAAACATTAGCACAATAAAATTAAAATTAGCAAAAAACAGCACACCAAAAAGTCATCTTAGGGCGCACTTTTTCGTATTTATTGATAATGAACAAGCTCAACGCTGATATAGATTGTATTTGTAATTATTCAAACAATCAAGCAAAATCTAGTTATTTTTAATTTAAGAAATATTTGAATACTCGCTATACTGCTACATGCACCGACGCACTACTAACTTTCACGGGCAACATGGCCATATTCTGGTTTCTAAATCATCATAAAGTGAAAGACCGATTTTCTAAAACCAATTTTCTATTAATCGATACTTTAAATTAGAAAAAGCGGCATCGCAATTCAATTCAAAGGTCACTGAAATATGCAAAGGGAAAGTGTATCCTGAATAACTTCAAATGGCGATTGTTGATATCCTGAAGGGCAAAGAGGGAAAGCTATATGGTGAGAGGTGGATTGTTGTTAAAAATCATTTTCTGAGTAACTGAGAAGAAGGTTAACATGTTCTTTGTAATACCTCACGGTAAAAATCAGTTGGGTAAAAAATTAGTCGAAGCCTCCACAACGACACCATTTGTCATGTTGCAAAAAATGTGCACTTGCAAAATTTTTATTTAAAAATTTGGTTAAATGAGCATGAGAACATGAAATTGTAAATAATACTTTCGTTAGAAATAGTGCGACAAAGCTAATACGACACCCGTAACCAAAATAAGGACAAATATTGACAAAAATGACAATGGCACGTTAAAAATGAAAATGATTCCAGTTGTTCAAAACATAACTAAATAATTTCAAAGCTGAGCACGACACAAGATTAAAAGCAAGTTGCTCGAAGCTTAAAATTTATAACCTCAGAGACTGCGCCCAATAAGCGGGGGGGATCTATCTCAAAAGACGCAAAATTTGACACGTAACTTTTTCATGGAAAAGAGACAGTTCATCTTATATAAGTCTGCTTGGTTAGAGAATAACATGAAAAAATTAGGAACCATTATTTCAATGAATTTTTATTGAACTGTTCCACTTTCTAGAGCTTATGTATTGGGTAAAATATATTGACACTTTTGGGTTCATTTAAATCCGATAATTTGGATGCAGAAATTCACCGCCTCTTAAAATTTTGGGCAAATACAAGTATACAATTTATCCAGAAAAATTTCGCGATAATTTTCAAAGAAATCGCAGTTTGAAACTTTCCTGAATTACGCATTTAATAGTTACTATATTGAGTTTCATTCTGATTTTATGAATACAAAAAAAAGTCCAATTATCGCCGCTAAGAAAACCAAAAATTAACAAAAATAAACTTAGTCTGTGTAAGATATCTTGTTTTAGCTCAATGTGCAGTTAATCGCTTTTTCATGTATAAATTTCGTAAATTATACCAACTGTTAATAGCAGTAAAATAGTAGCCTTTCAAGGTCACCGTTTTAACGCGCCAGGGTTAATTTGGTGTGTTTTTTGACTCGCGTTCAGTGGTCTGTAAATAAGGTGCGTCTCGTTAGATTTTCAATAGGTAACCATTATGCCTTATTATTGTTAACATTAGTCATTGTTATCGTGGCTCGTATAGGATGTTGCTATGTTCTCGGACACTAGGATTTCTTGGTTCCTGTCGGATAACAACCGTAGATATTGATTACCACTAACTAAGCTTTCGTGAATTGCGGTGAAGTAAAAAGTCAAGATCCTTGAATTTTTTGTTTTTGTATTATCAGTAATTGTGTGAAATATTTGGGTACCGGTGTTTCATAACAAGATGTCAATTGTGCCTCTATCTTTTTAAGCCCCTAACAGTAAGTTGTTTAAAAAAATGATTTATCGAAAACGCCTTTTACGATCGAGAGTTTAGTAATATTAGCTCTCGAGTGCCAGTGACCTGGTTTTAATTCAATCACCCATTTTCTTTCACCTAGATCGGATTTTCTTTTTTATCGCCTACTATTTATGGGCTTCGACATACTGGCAATGTGCAAGTTTACCTTCTACCTCACAGTTAGCGTGCGCTCACGTTCCTAGTGGAGCCTAGTAGCGGTAGTTTCCATCGGAATGTTTATCGGGGATGGCCACACTATCAGGGTTGACAGTCGGTCTCACCACACCGAAATGGGATTATCGAGTACCAGGCGTATTTGAAACTGTAGAATACTGAGCAAGTGAGCGTAATTAGATGGAAGTGTGAGTTTAGTTAAGACATTGGGTAGATGAATTGCATGTTGGGTGTGGGTTTACATGTGCGAACAAATTTTTGATGAACCTGGATGGGTTCAGAAGGAATACAGAGAGATAAAAGGCGGGCTTGGTCGTCGTGCGTCACGCCAATGTGCATCGTACACTTAGTCTGGATAGTCATCCCACAAGTCCCAGAGCATCATCTTTAGTTTCCTGTGTCGTCAGGATAGTTTTTTTTAAAAACCTGTAGGTTGATATATTAATTTAGAGATCTGAAGCTCATTTAATTACACTTTTGACGTTTTTTCCAAGTCGGATGGCAGGAATACTACTGGGTTTTCCTGATGAGGAAGCAGCCTCCGAACCGGCAACAGCCTTCGATAATTTCCTTGGTGGTACCCTAGTGACTTTTACTCCTCCCGAGAGTGTCCCAGTCACCACACCCACATGCACAAACTGCAGTGAATCGTCGTCATTTATAATGCAACTCTACTGCCCCTTGGGAGATCATCATCGCTCCATGTACTTTTTTTCCTGTCTTCGCAAAGAATGTCAAAAGTTGGGCCGCTGCTGGCGAGCATTCAGACTTTCCACGAAGCTGTCGTCAATTCCAGCGCTGCCTCAGAAGGCCACGTCCACCGAAGCGTCCGATTGCGAATGGAAATTAGATGACAACGACGAACTCGATGAAAGTGTTTGGTTCAACACGTGCCCTACAGTTGATGTGAGTTAACCCTGTGGAAGCTGGATGTATATTTTGTGAGGAATGTTTGACAGGCTCATGCGTTTTTCGATGTTACACGAAGGAAACGCTTGATTTGAGATATTCCACTGTCGTCTTTAATCTGAATATCTCTTCTACATTACTAGGTAGCCGCCATTGCGGACTCAAAGTGCCATGAAATTTTGCACATAAAAAGCCCCTTCCTCCGTCGCTTCATCCAAGTTTACGACGAGGAGACCCCTCAAGGCTCAGAGACGCAGCACAACTGTCTGTCCGACTGGGTGCTGGACTACCAAGCAGAGGAGGAGTTTGTCAGTGATGATGAAGCTGATGCGGACATCGAGAAGCACATGACCTCCCGATACCAGCTCCACCTGGCCACCCGTGACCCGGCCTATGGCTGCGAGGCTGTCCGCTACGCCTGGTGTGGCCAGCCGATATTTGCTAGCGCTCCTCCACAAGAGGACTGGGCCCCACACCTAACCTGTCGACGTTGTGGCGGCCCGCGCGCTTTCGAGGTTCAACTGTTCTCCTCGATCAATAACTCCCTCACCCTTGATCCCACGTCCCCCAATGACGATATTGACGCCTCATGGCCGCTGGACATGGCAACTCTCATTGTTTTTTCTTGCAAGGCCAGTTGTGAATCCGACCAGTGGACCGAGGAGTGCGTACTAGTACAAACTGAACGGGGAGAGAGTGTGTTTTGCGGCACCTGAACCCCCGCCACGCCTATTGGTGCGTTTGCTACCGTGTCTTTCGGCCTTGCAGAAATACATTTGGCCTGTTGGCTATGGAGTCGAGCGTTGCTACTTTCAAGCATTTGAGTAAATCCATTATTTTGCATTGCACGCTCGTCTAAACACAGTACTTGTGTGTTGGTGTGTTGTCGCAACAAGTTCTACAACGTGACACAGCAAGTCTAGTACAACCCGCCTAATGGCTAGGCAGTAAAAATTCGTGCGCAGCCAATGGGAGAGTACCAAAGAGGGGTTCATTACCACCAATTGCACGCAGATAAACGTAAACTAGAATGATCCTGGAGGAAATATTATAAGTACTATGGCGGGGCTAGGAGATGTTTCATAAATAATTCGGATGGAAGGGGCGGGGCCAACGCGATTTCACACACACACATTCAAGTGCATCCAAACAGCGCGTGCCAGCCGAAGAAGAGGCAGACGGGAAGGAGACACGACGAGGCGCAGAACGAAGCAGTAGAACACGCATAGCAGGGTAAATGAGTCAGCAAAATATCGATTTGATTTGTATCACTGCATCCGATGTGGGGCGAGGGGAGGGAGGGAGGAGGAGCGATAGTAGCGGGTTGGCTCAGCGTCAGATGAGTGACACGGTGCCTCAGTCCGTCGGGTGGTCGATGGCCGAGTCTGGAAGGGGTTCAAGCACCTCCACGTAGTTCACAGGGAAGAAGCCCACCTTGCCGTTGAGACGACCCTCGAACCAGTTCTCGTCGACCTGTCTGATAAGCTGGATGATATCGCCCGCCATAAACGCCAACTCGGTGTCATTCTCCGCCTCGAAATCGTAATCAGCTCGGCAGCACGGGCCTGTGACTGAAAGGAAGCGACAGTCAAGAGATTAGACATCTTGATCGGGTCTCTGACAATGCTCAGAGCAGCGTCTATCCAATGATTACATCCCGCATTTGAGTAACAGATCATTCGAGCGTAAAACAACCATAAAGGTTCATGAAGAAATAGCAGAATTGTAGTGAGGAGGGCCTTAACGGTAACAATACATTTAGTTTACTTTGTGATTTCTAAGCAAACAGTTTGGAGGGACCGACATCAAGGCCATTGGATGCTAAAACGTGGTCAAGATGTCAGTCTTAAGGCAAGTCATTTGACGATTCTATGTTGGGAGTAGACCTGGAGTAGTACAACATTAGCCGGATAACAGAAGACGCAATAAGACAGTGGGGTTTGAGCAGAAGTAGGCTGGTAAACAGAGTGTTTAATAAAAAAAAATTAACAAAACTAGGGGGATTGGTATCCACCAAGAATTTGAATACTGTGGGATTTCGCTGTGTGCGAAGGTAAAGCTTATGAACCCAAAATCAGTCCACACTTAGGGGGGGGGGTTTGGGTGAAAATATCCCACGAAGGGTACGAAGCCGGTATGTACTTTTCAGTATTATGAAAGCAATGTGGTTCGGGTGGCCAGTAAATGCAGCGAGTTAGCAAAATTTAGGATGGGGAGTGACAGCACCCACAGTTTGGGATTCGTTGACGCCAAATAAGTCAAGTGATTAATTTGGTAGTCTAGGTGCGCGGACACGTCAAGATAATGCCCTACTCATAGCGAGATGCGTGCAAGCGGCAGGCAATTATGCGCCCTTAAGAGGAAGTCTAAATATCGGAATGAGTCTCGTTCCCCTAGATTCAACCACTAAACGATATGCGGTCTAGCGTTGGCCTGTTGAAAGATGATAGCTTTTCGATTAAAAAGAAACTTAGGACGTTTTGCTAGAACCTCAGCATTAAAATGCCTAAAGATTTCACACAACTTCTCCGCAGTTATTGCTTGGTCACGAGGAAGTAACTTGCACAATAATACTCCACGCAATTCAGCCATTGATTCTTGTTGCAGGACTTCTATGCTCAAAGCTCCTGATTTATATTATTTTATTTCACACACGATTTGACCCAAAAAAATTGGTTTTGTTGGCGGGCGAGTAGAGAACTGACTGTAGGAACACTGTCCAACCGCACAGAAAGCAGTTATCTAGTTCCAGAGTGAATCCAAGTTGTTTTAAATAACAAAAATGTGGTCCCTCTGCGATCGCTTCAGTGGAAACGCGTGGGGTATTGTTCATTGAATCAATGATCAAGTCATAATCAATGGCGGAAGGCCGGTCAGCGCTGGTTTATCCTCTGGCGGATTGAAGTCACCATTTTTTTGAAAACGGTCCAATCAAACTTCGGTAGCAGCTCAAACACTCACTCATACCGTGACCCGTTCAACTCAACCCGACAAAAATGCACCTATGCATTGTCTTTCTAGAGATTAAGCCAGTACATCGGTACGTTCACAATCACTGAAAATCGAGTTATGCGAAATCTTGCATAATCCGCAATCAACGAAGTACACGGAACAACACACAGGCGTGTGAGGCGATAATTCAGACCTCAGAAGGCCCGTGTTTACTTCAAATAGGTACCCCACCCCGGCATCTGAACCACACAATAACAACAAAACAAATGTGATGGTCGTGAAAGCAATTTCTATGATATTCTAACTTATATTTACACCCAATTTTCGCTACGGTTAAGCTGGAGCTGGGTAATTGAGGCCTCGGACAGCGGGAGGTACTAGCAGATCTCTCACACTGCATAAAATAGCTCAATTTTCGAGAGAGAACGGTGGAGGTAATTAGGGCAGGCCAAGGAGACAATAGTGTTTTAATTCCTGAAGGCGGGTGCTTCAATTGTTAGCGAAAGTACCGCCACATTTGACAGATGACTTTTATGCGTATAGTCCAGGCCCAGAGGAGAACACCGAGACCCTCCTTATGGTGGGCTTCCACGAGTTTGAAAATACAGCCTAGCTATGAGTACGTGGGTGAGTTAGACTTGGATTGACTCGAAGTGATAATAACGACGGTGAACTTCAAATGGTATGGAATTGCACTTTTGCAAACTTCTCCAGGGCACAGTGAGGGAGGGGGCGTGGAGATGTGTCCCAGTGTGTCATGTCCACAGAGCTCGACGAATGGCAGTGTCTGACTGGCAGCTTCACGAGCGCGTCATTTGATTCGGCGTCCATCGGTGTGTGCGGACATCACGTGCGACTGAATTGCGCGCCCAGCCATTTAAAGAAAAAGCCGCGCTTCTGATCTGTGCCCAGTAAACACTTGCAACATCACGACATAAAATATCACACGGATTGGTTTGTGACCACTTCCGTTTTCATGAAGCAATGTGTAGTTCAAAATTTAGGCATAAATAGGCACCTCGGAACATAACATGACCTTATAAGATTACCTGTGGCAAACGAGGCAATTTAGAAAAGTTATCAATAAGGCCTGACGAAGCAACTGACCTGATTAGCACTAAACTTCACCTGATCGCGATTGACGGCAAAACGGCGAATTTGTGACATGTGGTTTGATCCAGAAGGCATGCATGTACTTTGGGCTGCAGATAAAATCAATCACTTCTACCCGCGTTCTGGCTACGCACAAACTACGACGCTCAAGGCGGTGTTAACACAGCTCTTCGTAGATGAGGGCTACTGTTTAACCTTAAAAAAATTCGCCACTTAGCACATGTACACATGCAGGTTGTCACCGCACGAGCAAAGGTACAGCATGTCTGCCGCACACAATGCCTCCACAAATCTGGCAGAGAGCACGCGATAATCCATAACGGCATTGGCTGTTTGTGTTATTTGTCATCTAAACCGTAGACAGCTTTCCAATTCACCGGGCATGCTGCTACTACTACCACTACTAGCAGTAGTAGTGTAGGGGAGGCGAAATTGAAATTTAGAATTAACGGGCAATGGGAAGGACACAGACGCAATAGTTTAGATGTCGCGCGCGGACGTGCGCAAAGAAAGCATTGCAAAAATGCCAAACGATTGGCGGGAGCCAATCGGAAGTGGGGAGAAGATCAGGCTGGGACGCGAGAACCAATCACAGGAGGGCGCTGCAGTGTCAACTTAATCCTGGCATTGGGAAAACACGATGTAGGGAGCAAAATTGAAACCGCGACGTCCCCAGGTCTAGGTATAACCCAATTCAGCTATTGGTGACTCGTGAAGGCGACAAAATGGACGCGAAGCGATACCTCGGATGGTTAATTAAGGAGGAAAACAACAGACATGTAAACATTTAAGGGCATTCGGAATCAAGAGTCTAATTTGTGGTCTCAATATGCATTTTAAAGAAGTCCCCAGACCAAAGAAGGCAAGACGCTGAAACAAGTCTTTGAAAGTGAGCTAAATGAATGTCTTCTTTGTGCGTCAAACGAATCAATAGCTCAATAAACAAAGACAGGTACAGACGAGGTTACGGATAAGGCGACAAGAGACCCAACGCTCCAAACAAAAGCCGTGGAAACGACAAGCAAGTGGGGCCAGCGAAACCTCGTCATCCAATCCAAGAGCACTTCAGACGACAATTCACACCCAGCGATTCTCTGTTACCCAGCTCCACCAAAACGCACATCAGTAACGTCTTTTACCTAGACGCACAGTTGGCTAGTGCATCTCAAGTTGAGATCGGTACGCAAGTGTGTGCGGATTTACGAGAGTAGCGCGTTGCATAGTTTGCAGAATGCGAGGTGATGAGGATTCCAAACTTGGAAAATATTCGGACGTAGGCATCTGAGAATTCCCCTAATGGCTTGTGGGATGCGTCGAGTTCACCTGCAAATTGCCACACGCATCAAATACTGCGGCGTATTAAAAAATCAAACCCACAGGCGAGACCCCGGTTGATTCTAAAACATCCCCCCTGACCAGAATACAGAGCAAGTTTTCACGTAAAGTTAACAGTCTGCACAAACAACCTCTACAACACAAAACCCAAAACGTGCTTAGAATGTAGAAACACGACAAATGCACTTGTGAACGAGGTGCTTGAAAGTCGCAGGAAGCATCCTGATGCGACGCCAATCTCCGAGTTGTGCGTGATATGCCTCAGGCAATTTTATTGGCTGCCAACAACATAATTACAAGCTGTGCGGCAGAATTCTACCACGTAATGACAGTGTGTGAGATGGGGACTGCGTTCGCGCGTGAGCAATGAGAATCTGGCTTTAGCCAACAAGACAGAAGGCAAAATAAACGCCGAGTAAGAATGAAAGACTAGGGAACGCACACAGGTAATGAGTGAGAACATCAGGTAATTGGAGTAGATCTACTCAATCAACAGGAAACGCCTCTACAGAAGGCACACTCATGACGCACCGAAGGCACGTAACAACCAGGTTCTATTTATCTTACAAAACACAAACATTTCAGCCCGCGACAACACGCTACTCGCGGTTTAAAATAGAAACAACCAGATCCTATTTCACAGTCAAAAAATCTAATCCAGTAAGAAGTGAGTGGCGTAAATGAAGCCTTTACTCTGTAGAATTAGGTAAAGCGATTGCGCACGAACGCAAATTGAGTTAACCACGGGACCCAAACTGCATGATTTGGCAAGGCGTGGAAAACTTTGATGCTGACCTCGACGCCACTAATTACTGTTATGCATTCCTCACTTCTACAAACTTGGCAGGTCGAAGTGATCACGGATAATGGCGAATTTCGCACACATCGGAAACCCAAAAAACATGTGCTATTAAACTCGTAAATTGTGGATGGAAAAAACACAAGGCAACACTGGAGCTGCGGTGTCATACAGGGTGGTCCTAGTGTAACCGAACTCCTATCTTTTTTTATCAAAAAGTTGAATAATGTTGTACCCGCATTGGTTTATACTTTGGACATTTGTTGAAAGGTTGCGCAGTAAATCTATGTTTCAATTTTTAATTTCTTGGCAATAATTAGAACTCGGCTGCATCAACAGAAAAATTAGAGAGCTACAAGGATCAAGCGACGTGGAGTCCCTAACGCGCAACTGAAAAACCATGGTAAAATTCGGGTCCAGGGAACCAACATCATTATCATCTGCGTCACGACAGTGGGCGCGAGTTATGCAAATTTCGCGATTTCACCAGGCATGCATGCCAAGCCAAGACGAGTCCAGACAGGTGTCAAAATAGACTGTTGTTTAGAGTAAGCAAACAGACCGTGACTACGACACGTTGATACCAGATAGGAGAAATAAACCATAATCCCTGGCGCATAATTTTCTTAGGTAAAGAGAAGGCCAACTGTGAAAGCGGATTTCGGTCTTAAAATTACAGCATCTATTTAAATAATTAAAATTTGTGATAAAGATGGATAAAATTAACACTTACTTGGCCTTCTGAGCTCAGAAAAGAGAGAATCAACGAATCACAAGGGGCTATAATTGACGAATTGAAATGTCGCAATCATGAGGGATTCAAATGAGCACCCAATCAACAGTCGAATGCACCAAACTTAATGAGCACGACTTGACGCCTCTGCAGGAAGCAATGTGGGGATACAGTCGAGCGCAAAGGTGGCAGACCAATGTCTACGGCGTGAGCTTTAAGAAGTTGGAACTTGCGTGGGCGAAATTGACGACTGAGTTAAAAATAACACACCCAGGAAATGTCCGCGCGAAGCTGATAGCGTGGACGCAATCGGACGATACAAAGGCGACATTTTCAGGTGAACTCGGCAACCTGGTTGTAGGACACCACCAAACGCAGCATCACTTGTGAATTAATCGAGGTGGCCAATCTAATCACAGCATAATTCAAGACCATCGTGGTCGAAAATGAAGAGAGTGAGGATTCTGCTCGTCAATTTTAGTCAAAAATCGAAATGCACTACAAGCCTTAGGCGTTAAAACTTAGGTATAACAGACCGGACAATAAAGCAACAGCAGACAGAGATCACATGCGCCAAGTTTAAAGGCGTAACATGGCAGCATTGAAACCATAGGGTGAGAAAATCCTCGTGAGCGTGGATTCACGTCTGCAGCTCATTCCGGCGGTATCAGGGGTTCAGAAACGTGATAGAGGCGAACGCTCGGATCGTGATTCGAAGTAGAATCGAACCCTGCCAATTTACCACCACAGAGAACTTGGTGTTCAACGTTGAAGCATTGGAAAACCGACACGAGCGGCATTTCGGAGCCAGATGCATTGGAGTACTGTCGTTTGAGCAGGAGTTCCAATTTGTGTGGATCGAAGAACAATGTCATGAAGGCAAAAACTGGCATTATTTCATTGATTTCTCCAAAAAACAGGATTTGGGCAGCAAGATCTAACAAACATCGCACAATTTGTAAATAAGCTACCCTAGAAAACGAGAGCTTCGGGACACAAATTGAAGGAAGGGAAACAGAATTAGTGAAAGGCGTGAAAGGAAATGCCACAGCTCTGGATTGGCCACTTTGTCGAATCATGGTGGGGCTACATTCAAGGTTGAATGAACTTCCCAAAAGGGCAAACTTCAGCGAGACTACACAAACACGCCGAAAAGGTTTCCACGATCAATGCAATTGGCCCGTTCTAGTAGATTGAAGCAATGTGTCCCACTGAAAAAAAGACACGGTTCAGAAGTTTCGTGCGAACGTCGCAGTCGATGGAGCCCTGTCATGCCTGAGGGTATACAAACGCCTGGTGCATTAGGTCGGACACCAATGCGGAACTCGAATGCTGCTTTAAGACGAAATGTTGAAGGAGGATAAAAGGATGCCGATTCACTTAACGAAGAGTATTTGCGAGAAACCAACCACAAGAAGTACACCCGATTACCTGATTTGGCAAGCATTTCAGAAAAACTTATGTACCAGAGGAATTCTAAGGATAGTGTCTTGAAATTTTGGAACAATCCAGAATACGGATCGGTCAAACGTATTCCAAAACCGTTTGGCCAATTTGACACGCAAAGAAACTAAAATAGATAGGATGAATGGTCAAGGTGGATCGACTGTAGTCTGCAGCACAAGAATGCGGTTCCGGGGTTTCTGTCTGCGAGTATGCCATGCAAACGCAAGGTGGTGGCAAACACTGCTCAGTTCGTGAATGCGCCAACTGAATGTGGAGCTGCCCCACGCATCTCAGAGCACCACAGCCAACTGTGCAACACGAAGTCACAACTTATCCAGTGGAAGAATGTCAGTGTGGTGTTTGCGGCACCACTAACTAAAGACAGCTTCTCAGTCATAGGCCGGAGTGACGTGCCGTTAACCAGCGTGAACTCAAGAAGTGCACACATTTGTGACCTCAAACACGGTCGTCAGACAAGAGATCCCAGAAGCACATATTTGATGAAGTCGATCAATGCGGAGAGCGAATCGACACGATGTACTAACAGTGCATTTGCTCTTTCAGTACACACCGGAAGTTGAAACTTTGGTTCGGTTCAATTTAGCGAGACACACTACGACAAAAGCTTGGGCTTGTGCCCGAAAAGGCGTCAATATGGGAGGTAAATTTGGCAGGACACCGTGAATGAATGGCATTCAAGCTACAGGCGTGCGTATGCACGGTAAACAAGACCTGGAAGCCCAGGGCACATAGTGTCAGCTGTTTGTGAGGTCTACGACAGGAATGTCAGGAAACAGGGGATAGTGATGACGAAACCACTTGTTCCACTTGGTGATGAACGCTGAGTGGGTTACAATTGGACAATTTCATTCAAGTCTTTCGATCAATGATTTTCGGACCAGGCTGGGGGTTTAATAAATCGCCTAAGTGAGGTTTGTTTGTGAATTGGACCTAGAAATGCAATCCGAAGGGGTTTAACGCCCTGGACAAAGAACGACCCACGTCCCACCCTCCAAGTTCCAGTCGAAATAACATGTTAGATAACGAAGAATGATAATTAGAACGGAGATATGCCCACAACTCGGAGTACATGAGTAGAAACTGCTTGCCTGTTAGACGGAACCAAAGAAGAAGGTGAAAGCCAAGCAGGACCGAAGTCGGGAATTCGATTTCCGATGGCACTTTACAATCCTTAATGGGATAAGGTTTGCATGTCAGCATACAGACGAGGCAATGAGGCCGATTCCCTGAGTGGTACCAAATGAGCCAATTTATTTAAGGACACGCCGATTCCAGCACGTACGTGAATCACAGCAACCGGCTGCGCCACTTGCACAAGTACGCACCCACTTATCTGGGCTATTTCTGTCCATAGAAACAAAAAGGCGATTTCGAGAGTGTTGCCTGAGGCGCTGGCAACCAGCACGCATTAAACGTGGCGCTACTTGTCCATGCGCAGTCACGTGTTTCCGATCGGGAGGTACTGCCTGATTCAATTAGTGACTGAGTGGTCTGAACGATCAGACGCGATTGGAATCATGCCGTTCCGAACAACACGGGCGCCCCGACAGATCAACAGGTAGGTTACGAAGTCAAACACCCCCTGATAATGCTACACCGACGGAGTGAGTAGCGCGTCGAAGTGCCTGGTGGATTCTCGGAGTTGACCTTACAACTCTTTAGGTCAGGTGCACTGGCAGCAATTTAGTTCCCTAAACACGATGACATCAGCGAGAAAGGGTGAATTTTGTCAGCTTTTAAAATCGATCGAATTAGGAGGCGGAAGTTTAAAGGCGTTTTTCCTGCTACAAGACGAAAACAACCACACAGGAGGGGCGAAGCGGCATGTTTAGAAGGACATTGCCAAGTGGACACATGACCTTCAGCCACTTCATTCAAACCAATAATCCGTGTCTGAGAGACATAAACTCCGGGAAAAAATACAGTCTCAGGATTTACGGGAGAAATCCTATCTACGACCACCCACACTCGCATCTGGGCCGAAAATTGAGCACACCTGACAAGATCTGATTATGGCAGGTAGGTAGCGAATCGAAAGTACGCCATCGGTCATTACTATGATTAAAATGACGCTGAACAAACGCAGCCTTGCTTTGAGCACGCAACTGCAAACACTAACTCCAGAGAAGGGGAATTCCACAAGTCTTAAACACATGCACATACAAATACTTCCCTTGACGGCAATGTTGTTTGCCGTGTTGTAACGAAGTAAATGTGCTAATTTACAATGACTGTTACGAATTGTAGACAATGCCAAGTGGCAAATCCAACTAACAAAGTGTTCGCATAATTGGCAAGACTACAAATTTGCAAGAAGTACCACAAAAACACCATCTTAGACGTTGATAAGGGGGAAAGGAATTTGTGAGGGGCCATGTGTAAATTCGAAAACTACGCCAGAGAATAACTTTAAGTTCGTTAGGGCCAATCAGAGCTAGGGGTAACCCCAGGTCACCGATACACTTATGACAAGGCGCAAACGGGGAGGAGGTTGGATGTCAGAAGTGAGATCTAAAAAAGCTTGTCAACTGGAATTATCAGTAAATTGTTGTGCAGAGAGTGACTTGACTGCCACTTCAAGACACTGCGCCAATGCTTAAACTGAAATACGCAGGCAGCCGAATACAAAAAATGTTACACTGCGGATGTCTGTATTCACGCCTACACAAGCTCTTCCCAGCGCCCCAGAGCCTAAAGTGAAGTAAATAAATTTTTCAGAAAGTTAAACACCATTTCCCTTACCGTTCTTTCGTCAAGATGACATGCGACCCCACTCTGCACGTAGAATTCCCCCTCTCCAAACCCCCTAACACATTATGGGGTCATTTAAAATTTAATCGCCTCCCTTCCCACAAGACTACAGCAAGTAGTGGACAAAAGAACTGGCCTGAGAACGAACCAAGCAGGATACAAAAGTAAACGACATCGGTTTTGGTATTCGTGGTCAGACAGTCGAGTTTTGTGGCTAGGGAGATTAATTGTGAACTTAGACACCTATTCACATGCTACCAAGGTTGCCTGGTTAACTTAGCATAGATGGAAACCAAGCGGACGCGAATTTCCTAAACACACGGAAGTAAATTAAGACTGTAGCAGTTGGAATTAGCGGCAACTACACTGCCGAAAGGGCTAAGGGTTGTGACTGTCTGTTATCCCCAATTCAGCCTAACCAGCTGATGCGATGAGAAGCACAACAAAGTCGGGCTTCAGAACAGAAAGAGCAAGTGAAGTGAGGAAGGCAAATTTGAAAAAAAAAGCAGGAAATTATTCTGGCGAGGTTAAGTAGGCAACAGGAATAGGGCGTGCGGTTGGTGATTGTAAATTCCAACAAAATACTTCAAATGGGGGATCGTTGGGAGTATCGCAACGCCACGAAAACGAAGTAACACGATGGAGTACCAACGTGGATCAAACGGCGTTTAAAATTGCGCCAAAAAACGCATTCTTAACCAGCCACGAAGACTTTTCGCAGCTTGTATGGGTTCAAACAGAACTTTTATAAAATCGAGTAGGCTGTCATTTGCCCCGAATATTGTAAAATGATTTGTTGGCAATGCCATTTCTGCTGGGAACTTGTGAATAGCACAAAATCGTTTTGACAATTGCAAAAGCACAATAGTTTCGTGGACTCGACAATGCATTATTACCATTATTATTTTGTGTGTGGACGGCCTGACCAGTGTTCCCCAAGAAGATTGACACTTGGCCTCAAATTACCGAAAAAAACACGCCAGCGCAACCACGACAAAAGGCAGTAGATTGACAAATACCACAGATACCAGCAATTTCGGGACTACGAAACAATGCCTCGCAAAAAATAAAGGCTAATTTTGAAAAATTGGCAGGCTTTTTTTGTAAAAAAAAACTGATCGCCGATTGCGAAAGGAAAACGAACGATTTGAACTGACGTTGGATTTACACGAAGCAGGCTACGAAACTGAAATTACTGTGATCCGGAAGTGCCTGCGAACGCTTTGTTTATTAGCCCGGCCCGGTAACTGAATGTTTGGCTGTAGAGCGGGGTGCGACGTGGAGTCGTGGCGTGGTCAAAAGGATCGACGAGTAACCGGCGGTGCACTGCGCACTGTCAAGCCAGACAACGGCAAGAATCGCCGGCGATTGTGGTTGAGGCGTTGTGTTTCACGTTGTACTACCCTTATCACTCCTAGTGCACACAGGTAGCTTTAATCGCCGTGCCGTGTGGGTGGGTGGGTGGCTGCCTAATTCAGCGATTAAAATCAAGCCTCAACTGGATCACTTTGAGGGTGCAAAAATTTACAAGTCAATTAACGCCACCGTGTTTGCCGGAACAGCGTGCGTAAGCAGCGTGTGACCACAAAAAAAAAACTCCAAACCAAAGGGGTAAATAAGGGGACAAACGGAGGCTGCAGAGGCTCAGCGAAAAAGCCGACGCATTTTATCGATTATCGATATAAGACGAGTTTTACATTCAAATCAGTGTACTTTGGATTTGCGCTCTCAAGGTCAAAAATTTAATTCGTGTGAAATCGATCGTATCGATTTTCACTAAGCACTTTAAGCTATAAGTTTCCGTGGTAAGGTGTGGGTGTGTGAATGGATTGGATGACCTCCAAACCCGTTTGAACTTCCTGTCCTGTCCGTTTGGAAACGGATCTCATCAAAGCTGTAGGTAGCTTCTTTTTCTCCGCGAAATTTTGCAAATAAGAGACAAAATTAGGCCTCGGCAAAAGACCTTTTTAGGGTTTAGTGAAGAGATCAATTTATCGGATAGAAGTTAAACGTGGTGGAGGTTTTGTCGTAACACATTCGACGGATCAGCATATATTCACACCAAAAAAAACGAACCAAGATCTTCATTCACTAGATCGCACAAGTTAATCCCGACCTCAACAGTTACTAATCAGGCACAAGCCGCATGAAAAACCCTGAAGTCGTTACTCGAAACCTACCATTTGGGACTACTGGTGCACGGTTTAGTTTGCGCCAAAAAACGGTGTAATGTTCCATTCTCTTACACAAAATCGATTTTCATGACCTTGAGTTTCGACTAATGAGAGTTAAGTGGGTGCGGAGAGACATGGCTAAATGTATGACCACAAACGAGTGCTACGCAATAGAGCAAATTCTGTGGTGCTGCTTTGGTGTCTCTCGTTTGGGTGAGCAGGAGGCAGCAGAAGCTAGAGAAAGCCACAGAAAGGCACCAACCTCCAACGGGCGACTTGCTCTGAGGCTGGGGCGAGTTGAGTCCGTTTTTGGCGTTCATGTCACCGCTGAGAGTTCTGGTGATCTGCACTGGCTTCGGGATGTGCGTTTGTCTGCCTCGTGCCTTGGCCTCGTCTTTCCTGAATAAGGCAAAAAAACAGCACTGAGGAAAGTGGGCGACAAAAATTTTAAATTCTCCCCACAATTAGTAATTACAGGAGGTTTATTAAAACAGACGTCTACAAGCCCTACATTAGCAATGGTGGTTTAAACAACAATGGGTTGGTGCTAAATTATGGTGCTTATTGGACAGTTTTTGAGCGGGCTGTTTAAGTATAACTTGTGAATTTTACGCGCGTCAGACAAGTCGACGTTGGCCAGGAAGCACGTGGCGGGCTGACACCAACCAACCAGGTAGCTAGCAGTGAAGTGCCTTCACCACGGAAGGCGCTTCAATTGATGTTTTGCTTGGATAAGCCAAATTCCGACGTGGCTTTGAGCCAGCTCACGGGTTTACGATGGCACGCGTGCTAAGTTGTACATATAGTAAGAACCTCGAAAAAGCGAACGCGGTGGTAGGCGTTTTTTAAAGGCATTTTTTCTGTGGGGCTAAAAAAAAACCAGATACAACAACCTCACATCACGCAGTTCGACCAGCAACAGGGTCCGTTGGAGTAAGATAAGCAAATCACCAAACCAGCAAACAACAAATGCCAATCGGAGAGACTAGGTTTCTTGGCCTGGTCTACGCTTCGCGCCCAACTACGCATAAATCCACGCTTGGTGTTAGCAGTGCGCAGCACGAACTTGTTCAAAGCGTTTCTCGTGCACAATGGCCCTGCTTATCTAATCTCCTCGCCGAAAACCACGACACAAATGCCAGATTCGCACGCGATTAGATTTGCCTCGTAAGCAGCTAGGCTTTCTGAGAAAGAACCGCCCGCAGTCTAGCTACTACCTTCAGAATAACACTTCCACAGTTCGAATGTCTGTTGGGATGAAAAGTTTAGCAAAACGATCAGAGGGTAATGCGATCTTTGGGTGTTAGGCCGAGCAGTTACCAATTTTGCGTGTTACGAGATCCAAGTATGATGGGTTTACAGCGTTACCACGCTTGCACGAAACCACACACGGTGCAATGGTCACAGACTGTCTGTCGTGTGGGCCTGCGAATAACGCAGCCTTTGGTTTTCGCCACGGTGAAGAGACAAAGGCCTAGTCAGTTGGGCGATAAATCACACTATGGGGTTTGCGGAGCATCAAAGGACGCTATTCAGGAGTCGAAGGCAGATATCGTGCTATGTAGAGACAAGTCACGTTCCATTGCGATCCACGCACACCGCCAACAGTTAAATATGACGCTTCGGTGTCAATAACACACCTCAAATTCACACTCTACGGAGCGAAAACGACACAGTCATGTGCCATCGGTTAACAAATCTAGGCTTCAAGCAGTGGTCGACAAACATTCGTGCGCCGCCGAATCGCAGTAATTTAGTGAAGTTACCTACACTCCCTAGATTCTCTTGGAAAAATCACCCAGCAACATTTTGCTACAATCCGGATCAATGTGCAAACCCACCCTAGGTATGTAACAAAGTCGAGGTGTGTGTGAGTTTATGTAAGCATGTTAGAAGTTGCAGGGTTTGGCGAACCGTCGCATTTTAGGTCGTAATTGCGCCACATTAGTCGATAAGGGAAGTGGTGCAACTTGGGTCGGTACTTCAAGACAACGCACCGACCGACTCCGTTGATCGAAATATGCAAGCTGTAAGCAAGCACGCACTTTACTCCAACGACCGATCAACAATGCACACATGAACTCGGGTTTGAAGAACAACCGCCTCGATATCGAAGCATGTGTCTTTTCACCACACCTCCGTTTAGAGGAACGAAATTTCCTGCTATGAGGGGAAGGGAAAATTGCCACATTTCACGGCTAAAGGATTGAAATTGGCGCACAGCAAAGTCGTCGCACAAGCTTGTCGTCGAACTCAGATTTCTAAATCGCCTTACTGTGTCGGAGGTTGGGGAGAGCAAGCGTGGCAAAAATTGCCCTCTAATGTAAGTAAATCAGCCGAACACGTCATAACGACATCAGCACGGAGTGATACGCAGTTGTGTGCCGTGGTTTCCGTGCAGCTGTCAATTCGGAGAAGGCAGCTTTGATTTTATTAACTCATGAACAGCGGATGCATCTGACCATGCAATTATTCGGGCATGATGCGACGACGATCAGCAGTCGCGTCGAAAACTTTGCGTGCTATAAGAGGGGAAGTTTGTGCCTCTGTCTGTGCGGTGACCTCTTTCCCAGGCCGGACAGTGAGGCAAAACTGAAAGTATACCTTGTTCGGGGTTCCGAATCGTCTTTTTTTTCTATACGAATTCGGCGTGAAGTTTGGCGTGTGTTTAAGTACTTACAGGCGCCAAGTGAACACCAAGACACTGATTTCGTCAAAATGAGCACAGTGAATGCGAATGGATCACCTGCCAGCTAAAATACTGAGCAGGCGTGAAGACAGCGCAAACAACCATTGTTTTCCCGTGTCGGTAAGGTAACCATGGCAAATTCGGCATGCCTTAACCACAAGCACAACGCAGTGTTTCAACAACCGGTTTAAACAAGGTGAGACGATAGCCAAAGGCATAAGGGGGCTTAACTGAAGGCTGCACGTCATGACTTAACGATTACGGTGATAAACATGCGCCAAAATCGGTGGAAAGGACTCACTTTTCAAGAAGAGTTTTGCGCAAATTTTCCATAATCTCTGATGCCTGGCGGTAGTAGTTGGCTTGCGCGTCCACGAACTCGGCGAGAGCGCTGATGTGTTCAAACTAACAAGCAAAGATTGAAACGTAATCAACAAAAAGGTGGCAGAAACTGTGCACACACACCAAGGACACACTTTGCCGTACAGTTAGCAACAAGGAATGCTAGGAGCTATCTGTAAAGGATCGATTTTTAAGCAATCATCATGACAGTGAGTTCAGTTAAGAGGCACGAAGTGCAACGATAAGGTGGAGGAGGAGGAACTTGCATGGGAACCCCCTGAAATGCTTTTGATTGGCTTAATCAACCTGCCGCCAATCGCATAAATGATAACAGAGAATAAAAGCCTGTGAAATAGACATCAACGCTAATTGAGGGCACTGCTGCGATTAGACAATTAACGTTTGAAAAGTAGATTCCAGATAACAATACGGCCATTTGCCGCCTACAACATTAACAGTAGCACCACCCGTGGTAGAAGCTGCATTACGCATCTCAGGTTACAGAACGGGCAAGTAAATCAAGTTTTTGGATTTAGGCAGTGAAACGGTAGATTCAGAAAAAAGATCGAGGCAAGTGGTACCTGGTAAGGCGGGGATTACGAAAAACAGGAATTTAACTTGGATCCAATGATTGCTGAACTAAAGCCCACTGTTAGACGGATGTTGATACCATAAGTAGTAGTTTGAGATGTGTTAACTTCAGGCGGACAAATTGCGGTGTTACGTTAAGAATATGCACCTTTATCCAGGAATTCCACAACTTTGGCTACGTGTAACCTATCAAATCGAACACCTGAATAACTGGGTGCTGTGGAGCAAACTCGATCATCCCGACAACTACAAGTGTCCAAGTCTGATCCCAGTGATAGCATGCCTCAAAGGTGCAGCGACTCGATTGGCTAACATTAAAATCGGTCCACCGAGTGAAAACTCACATTTTAAGAGGGGCGGAATTTGATTGGCTGCGTGTTTGACAAGAGTCATACTCGGCACCACAATGTGTTACTAAGATGAAGTAACACTCAACAAAAAGGCTACTGTATCAATGGCGGGGCCAAACATTTGACTGACCAAGAAGCCACGTCAACTGGTAACGCGGAGTAAACAGAGAGGACAAGTCACAAAGTGTGTGTGATTATTTCACTCGTAACAGTCACGACGTTGAAATGGACGTCGCGGCTAGGCTAATTACACTGCAGACCAAAAATGGAGAAGGCGGGGAGTGGGTTAGCTAGCCAGCTAGCTAGCTAGCGTGAAATAGGACTAGGTAACTACAGGTATCGAGGGAAATCGGAACTGAACAGGCATTTGAGATTACCTATGAATTAAGGACAGGCGTTAGTTCTGCATCTCTCATTAACAAATGTCGTGCTTATTACTGAAATCAGTCTGCTTGTGACCGTTAGCCGACACTGCTTTGTGAAGGCACCGCGGAAATGTTCATTGTGTCAGTCTTTGTGCTTATGTACCCAAGGTTAATGAACCAGGACGATCCAGCGGCTTGTGTTTCAAAGACCTTTTGTGGTGCTGCCAAACGACATCGCGCCCAAGAATCACCGCAACAAGCGGCCACAAAAGAAGGCAATCTACCTCTATGCAGGAATCAGGTGTATTCACGTCAACCAACGTCGTGCGTTCCACAAAAAAAGTATTTAAAATGCAAAGTCCAACCACAGCTTGTGGGCTGGGTTAAAAGGCGGTGACCCTAGGGCCTGTGGCGCCGAGCAATCGAGATCTGTGGATGTGGCCTTTGAAAAACAAATTTAGCCACCGAAAGAAAAAATTCTTTCACAAGAGACGCGGATAACATAGGAGAAGTACACGGAAGTTACGAAAGTGAAATGATAAAAGTACAGAAGAAGCTTGAAAACTAGCGTAAACGCAAATATTTTGACGGCATTGTCGAAATTTACTTGCTGGAGAACAGTATGAGTGACGGGTATTTCACCAGAACGCGAAACAACTTACACAGGCTTGAGACATCCACGAAGACCAAAAAAATCATTCAAAACGACGTAATTAATCGAAAATACCGATTGATGCCTAAAGGATGTGCTGCCAGGGCGGCAAATTTGCGGCGAAACTACACGCCAACATTCAATTCAAAGATCGAGTTGAGTGTGAGGTTCCAGAATCACAAGAACACCGCCTTGGCTCGACAAACGATTCTTACAATTAGAATTGCTAACCAAGAAAGAAAACAGGACCCACCGCACAGGAATACACCTTAACGGGGAGACCAGCTTCCTCAGTTTCTGTTGCAAAGAAGCAATTGGTGTTCAACACGTCAACCCAGGCCAGATTTTATTCGGAGGTCTGATAGCGATGTCTGTTTTTGCAATTCAAATTACCTCTTATTATAGTTTCAGGTGTCGCACCAACTAATTTGTGCCAGTTTCAGAGGAAGTCGTATTCACGAATAAAATGTTTTCTTTACCAAAAGACCGGGACATATACGTCCATTGGTGACTACAACCGATATTTGATTGGTTAACTGCAACTTCTGGCAGGTCAAGCAAAACGGCCTTTCGGCCGGCAACAAACCAAAAGTAACTCACATCAGAAGCCAGGAAGTTGACCATAGCAGTTTCGGCGAGAACCTTCGACTCCTGGAACTTTTTTTCCGCGACGTTAACCTCATCTTCGAGGGCCTTGACAGCCTGCGGATCTGCCGAATACAAACGAGTTGAGGGGTGTGGTGAGAACCGAACAGTCGGTAGTGGTGTACATGGGGAAAGATGTGTGTTGGAAGGCCAAGTGAGTGGATAGCAGGTGGAAACAAAACACAGAATAAGAAACGACAAGACAGGAAACTAAACGAGTAAAGCTTGAGGCGGCTGCGAAAGTGGGGTTGGACACAGCGGCTAGCGGAAGAGGTTGGAGGGACGAATTGTGGAAACGGCAAGGAAAACCAAATATGAGCGCTCACATTCGGCGTCGGTTACATGGGGGGTAAAGCAGCGACAGTCTACTCAGTAGCAAATAGGCTGGCAGCGACAAACGTACTTTTACTTGTGGCTGTAACACGCAAGACACGTTAGGTTAAGCATACACTGCATCAGCACCACAATTAAGTCGAGTGGACAACTTCTACGTGTCTCCTGGAGCAACTAAGCCTGATTCATAAGAACGCGCACAGGAAGATCCAAACAGGGTAACGAAGAAAGTTCGAAAACAGGTTGTTATGCCAATTACAGTATTTAAAAAGAGAATTTAAAGGCAACCATCGAGCCAACGACGTCCGCAGTGATTCTAGCTCCCATCAATTAGAAGATAAAAATCACCGTGACGCACACACGTGAAAGCAAACTTAGTGGAGCAGCAGCCGGGAAAATTAGGGCATTTAAACAGCATTCGTCTTCAACCTTTGGTGTAGGCCATTACCATACAACCGCAAATCAGTACAGGGTAAATTAAACGTTCGTTCGCACACGGTCTCCTGAGTAGCTCACAGTTAATACGCGTGCGAAAACAACACTTGAAACAGCGAGTGTTTGATGGAGGTAAGGAAATGAAGGCGACTGGTGCCACTACGCGCTAGACAAGACCTTTTGGTGTTTGGAGTTAAAACTAGAGGGATTAAGTAAAACAAGTTACTAACGACCGCCAAATTAAAACAAACTGCATTGCTGCACTTGATGGAAGAACGATAATCTAGAAGTAGGACGGCGAAATACCAAGCCACGACTGACTCGGTTAGCGAATGCTCCTGTAGGAATGCACGTGAATAAAGTGAAACATTTACTTCGAGTAACCACGGTGTAGAAAGTAGCGTAAAGTGCTCAAAATTACTAGCACTATGGGTGCCTTAGAAACAGCCTCCACATATTTGGGAGGATAAGCTACGTTTCTCTAAAAGCAGAAACGATTAAGCTTCTATGATAAATTATCCAACTTGAAAATAGAAATCTAAATCAATCCCTGGAAAAATGACTGGGTTTCAAGATTTTCAAACCGAAATCCACGGGTAGCTAAATCAGCTTCCCCATTGTCAGATGCCTTGTATTATGTCGCATACTAATTAATCGAATCAAACGTTGAGTTAAAATGATGAAACTGAAACCGCGCCCGGAGCAAATCGCAAGTCATGCAGTTGGAAGACTATCTACTTTAAGTTGATTCAACAAAAGGAGGTTATAAATGACGCTAAGTAATGATTTTTAGGATGAGAAGAGACGCGTTATACTCACCAGAAGCTAAATTATAACACAAAGTCAGAATAGATAATTAAAGGGCAGTACCTCACGCGTCCAGGCACAATGTCGTCTATTTTAAATACAGCGACAGTAAGAAAACGCATGCTAGACGATAATTGTCCTATTAATGATAAGAGTGAATATACACAAGATCAATTATCAACCCAAAACAGGGACCAATTTAATTGCGAAAGTATTCAGATAGAAAGCCACATGTACGCACAAGCGAATCACAGGGGTGCACATTTCAACTGGTTCAAATTACAATAAGCGAAAGCAGATTTCGTCATAATTTTCTGTGAACTAACGTAAAATCTATTCCTTCTAATTTTCACAAAAGTCCAAACAACTGCAGCGATTTAACTAGCACAAAATTTAACACCGATAGTTAGGCACTCACTGTTTTCCCTCCTCCGTTTCTTGCAATCGAAATCTAGGCGACGACCCTCCAACTTTTTACGATGAAACTGTGAGAAAAGGCGCTTGATAGTCACACAAATCAATTGACGTTTATTGAACAATTCAGGAAATGTATTAACTTACATTGATTTCTTTTAATTCAAATCCCTGTATGCCACGGATGGGTTCGATGAATGCTCCCTTAACTTGGTCTTCCATATTATATTTAATATCTTCCATGCTCTTGAAGGAATTTCCGGCTTGAACAAGACATTCGCCTAGTGACAAAAATTTTAGGATTATTAAAACCCAAAGTAAGATAAAGCGGTATCGTAAAAGAGGGTTTCGTAGGAAATTCAGTGAGCGAAAATGGTTGGAAACCCAAAATTATTTTAAACTTTAACAGGCCTACACCGGAAGAAACTAATTTGCGCAATCATATGTGGACAAATTATAAACGCATTAAGGCACCATGATACACTGCAAAGACATGGTCATAAAAACCCAATGGTGGTGGAGAATGCACAAAGAGATAAATCAAATAAATCACAAACTAAATTATGTAAATTTGGAAAACATTTGATATAAAATTAAGGGCGCACCATAAAGAGAGTCCGGGCCCAATTCATTCCCATACTTTAACATGCATTCTCCAAGCTGACCCTCAGGTTGGGGGTACGGTGGGGCGACACCCTTGCCTTGAATTTTGTTAAATGTATTAAGGGTGGCTAGCTTGGCACGAGTTGTAGGGTTGGGCTGCAAATATTCTTGTGTTTTAATAATTATTTCCGAGAAAAGCTTCGACATGATGTCGATTTGCTGTGAAAGTAAGAGTAAGAAAATGATAAACCTTTTCACAATGAATGTAATCCTCGTCCAGCTTCGTTCCCTCTGCACCACCAATTTTTTCAGACATAAACTACAGAGACATTAGTATGCAATATTTATACCTGATTAGCTTTATTAAATTGTTTCCGAAGGCCTGTCAGAGACATTTTTCAAGAAACCAAAGCCAGAAAACTTCAACGGAAGGAGCCGCTGTGAATGAATTACTCCACGTAGTTAATTAAAACAAACCAGGTTACAATAACGCGATTCTCTTTACCTTAGCCACAAACCAAATTATTAATAGTCGCTACATTATAACTATACAAAAATCACTCTTTAAATGCGTTAACGATTACATTCTATTTTGCTTTTTAGATTGAAGGTATTTCATGTTATTTTGACGAAAATACTCTAGATATACCTTATTAACACTAATCAGCTAGAATTACACAAGGTTGGTGATTTTAACTTATTTTATTTAAAAATAATAATTTGTTGGAATTATATTCAATGTTTGAGTTCGTCAGCATGATTGCCGAGAAACTTGCATAACCTCCTGTGAACAAAATTAAACAACTGTAACGTGTCTATCTAGTTGGAACGGAAGACATAAAATAAGTAATTGAAGGACCTTGATGCATTTTAAACTACCGTATGCAAAATCAATGGGGCTAGGGCGTAGTTATAACCATGCATGGATCCGTGTCTCGAGTCATTTTTAGGGAGCAATTATATCAAACACGAAAAGTCAAAGAGGCGTTTTCAACAAACATGCTGGCCTAATTATTGTTCAAGTGTCAAACTAACCTCTCTTTTTTGAATCTCAGTGAGATAGACCTGGGGTTGGTGAACCACTGTCGCGATTTTGGTGAGTTATGGTAGTTTGTGGACGAGTAAAAGTCAAAAGAGAGTTAGAGACTTTGATGCAAAGTGATTTTGGATACATCTAAAAGCAATCGCTGTTAGGATACATGTGAGACTAGGCTCATCTCCTACAAAATGTTCTCAGTTTCCACATAGCCTGTCAAACGCTCTCAAGAGAGACAAGTGACAGAATTTTAAAAGGCTGCATCCTATTAAGAAGTACCCGAAATATAATTGGGAGCCAACTCTCAAACAGATTTTAACTGTTGGAGACATCGTAATTACTACAAAGCCTAAGGACTGAGCAGGTCCAGAAAATAAAACAATATAATAAGAGGACGGCAGGCCATTTATGACGCAAGCGACGTGCGTGACACAACGCTTAGATGTTTGCTCTTATTACGTGCATTTCCTAGCTTCACCAATCTAGGGCCTCCGTGCGTCTAAATAGTTGTGATGGGTGTAATAAAACTCCCCGCAGCTGTTTAAGTAATTGAATTTTCCAAGCATTCATGTGAGCCAACAATCTCTTCTGATGCTTTTATAGACGTGGTCCCTTTTAGAACACAAACGGAGTGAATTCTATAGGTCAGGAAAGTTTGGTTAACCTTGAAAATTCAATTTTACTTATAAATCTCTGAGGTCATTTATCCCACAACTGCCAAATTTCTGTGCGTTGATTTATGCCAAGTTAAAATTACATGTGGACATGTGCAAACGTCTATTTATGGTAGCAATGAGATGAAAAGGCTCCATCATTCCATATTCATATTACGTCAGTGACCCTTTGAAAACCGATCGATAATATTTATGACAAAATTGTTTGGAGGAATGTGTTGGAATGCAATCAATTAAGGAACCACCCACTCCTACAGAGAAAGCGTGCCCGACTCTGTCAGCAACATAAACATTACCTGGCTAAACGTGTGCAGAAAAAAGAGTTTGCAAGTTAGCAGGGTCCAAAGTATTGTTGTGCCTGCGATTTCGTTTCCTGGATGTTGTGGACCAGTATTTTTCAAACCAATAAAACCAGTTTTTTAATCAGTGATGCAGGACAAGGAATTCAAGCACTAATTTCAGGAAAACTCGTCCAGGGAAAACATCTGGCGTTGATCGTGCAACAGAATTATCCATGGTGGCCTAAGTTTTGATTTTTTTATCTTCTCTAATTTGAACGTTTCAAACTGGACACGAGTCATTAAAACTAGGTAATCACTTTCTGGCCATCGTTTAGCGTCCCACATATGACCACATACTTATCAACAGGTGCTGATTTGAAATGAAAACATCGCCTCCACACTCCAATGGGCCACATAATATTTACACACTTCAACGACCAAAAATTAGATGGATGTGCTTTTGAACGAAAAATTGTCAGAATTATAACGGTTCTACTCATTTTACTAAAAAAAATCTGACATTCATATCAATAATGCAAAATTGAACTTGCATTTAAACGAAGAAAATATAACATTTTTAGGAGACAATTTGCAAAATCTCGCATGTTTAAATCGGCGAAATTCGATAGGTGCTGAAAATAGAAATTCCTACCTTAACGCAATTTCGAGATTGGCCAGATTGTTAACCGGTTTATTTGCCGCCTACGTTGTTGAAACTTGCGTTTAGACGCGTTACTTCGCGACGCATTAAGCTGTTTAAGAATTTCCTACGTGACAATTTGCAGTTCATCAGTGGCATACTTTTTTTCTTCCACCACATGGAAACTTTAAATTATTCATGGAACAACACTGAAGGCCCACTTAAACAATAATTATAAAGATTTGCTTTAAAGAACTTAGGGTGCGGTATTTGCAGTTGCTACGAAACCTTGAGCCGCACACGTAATATCTCTACTCGGAAACGATTCAAAAAATGCATTAACCTTAGCGTGTTATCCTACACGACAAACGTTGTCATCATAAAACTGAAATGGAATATGTATGGAGTAAATATCCCGAGGATAATTGACCGCCGCGTTGAAAATTATGTGAGCCCGACTCATTTGACAACACAAATTGTAAGCGGCGCTCAGTGAAAATAAGAATTAAAACAACAGACAAGTTAGGAATAACACAGCAATGGTTACAACAATTTTAACCCAGACCGGACATGGGGTAATGATACCTGTGGTTAACAAATAAATTACTTTTCATTCAGTTGAAAAAAGCAGAATAATGCAGAAAATATGCATCAAAATCAACTTTGAAAATTAAAAGAAAGGTGCGTTAGTGTTTATGTGTGCATGTGCGAACGGGCTCGACAAAAAGGCGCATTATATTGGCAGGAAAATAATAATAATAGCAATGGTTTGAATAGATGTGGGTGATCTTATAAAACATGGCAAGATTCTAAAACCTAAAATAATGAATGAATCTTATTTTAAATTCATGGGATTGTGCTAGAATCCTAGGTTTCCCGCTTCAGGAAATACCTAAAAACACGTCTACTTATATGGAAGATGGCATGCCTAATTTTTTTGGAAACAAATAAATGCCGAAATTATTACTAATGCCAAGTAAACTAACCACGTCTTGCAATTTCCCTATTTACCATCTTCATTGTCCTAAAAACGGTTCAAGATCGTGTTTGCTTGCACGCAGCAGAACCGCACCAACTCATATAAACCAAAGTATGCGCGCAAAACCATCGACACCTCGAGAGTTTATTGCTATTGCGCAATTTTGAGATTCGTAATACCAAATTTTGGTTCAGTGTTTATAATTAAATTTGACGCAGTTTAAAGTGCAAAATTCACACGGTAGTATAGTTCCCTGAAAGTGGACGTCGTACACTCCGAGGTAGACCATTGTAGTACAGGAAACGGTTTGACTGTTTGCAACATCAATTCGAGTATTACGAAACACCGGCAACTCCATCCCCGGTTTATGGTGCCAATCACTACTGCTATTAAAGCTGATTTCATAAAACTGGGCACCAAACTACCTGTTGCTATTTCCCTGGGGCCATGAGTCGGCGTAGGCAATAAAACTAGAGAATCAGTGACGACATTCTCATAAATATCGCATCAACAAATTAGACCTAGGTAAAGAGCAAACTGCAAAAACAACTAGTTAATCGACAACAAATGAGGTTAGCAGGTTACGCGAAGACCGCATCCATGCAAGGCAAAATCGAGACTAATCGATTTCACCAAGCAAGAAAACAAACTATCTTTGTTGAGAGTTTTGTGATTATTGAATCACTGAACATTCTGCTAGCTTGTCATCATAATTTTTGCGGTACAACGTTAACTTCGAGTTAACGGCTTGAAACGTTTACTGTTGACGCAACGAGCGTTAAGAGGATGTGTTAATCGAGGACGAAGGAGCCACAACTGGCTACATTTCATTGCGTTTTCCTAATGACGACAAGTGAAAACTTGTTTCCATAATAAGGTAGAATTCCTTGATATTTAACAAGTGCTGTTAGACGACTACCTTGGACCAAGGTGACAAGAAAATACGCCAGAATACAAAGCCTTAGTTTGCAAATAAAAACCACACTACCATGACAGTCATCACCAAATATACAAAGCTACCCCAAACTCCCCGCCACCACAAGGGAGCGTTAACCAAAGAGGTGTGTGTGTTTAGTCAGGAAACGGTATAAACGGAGGCAATTAAGTAGGGAAGTGGAATTTCACGGCGACCTCGACGTGCTAGGAGGTAGAGAGGTCTGAGGCGGGCGTCTGATTGAAAGCCTAGAAGAGGCGTCGCTTGCGTCGCTGGTTGTTTACGTAGCAGACGTATCCAACAAAACAGCAGCCAACAAGAAGGAGGAATAAAAAGACGTAGAAAACGATTCTCCAGGTGGAGCGCTGAGGGACATCGGGGACGTGTGCTGTAACGCGAAAAAAAAGAGAAGGTGGAAAGCCGCACTGACACAATCACGATGGTGAGAGGACCCTAACAGAAAATCCTATGGGTGTTATCATACAGACACCAAAACCCACACTCATTGATGCTAGTTTAAGTCGCTTAGATACGCGCACCCAGAGGTTGTTGGTTAATGCTTGCCTGGGTGTAAAACAAGCCTGTTCTCAATCAACAACTGCCATCAACATCACGGCTTAGAAGCATTTGGAGGCGTGAGTTTCACGTCGATATCAGTTCTAATGGGGACAGAACAGCCCTACTAAAGAATCGCAGATATTGCCAAGTTATGAGTCAGCCACCAAAGAATAGGTGGTAAGGTTCATCAAAATAGATGTCATTGCCTTTTGCAGGAATTCGTGTTGGTATAGGATTTCTAGCAAGAAAACACACGCCTTAAACCCATTTATTCAGTCTACTTCGTAGTGGTTCCTATGTGCTTGGTGGGTTAGTTGATGGAGTTGGGAATTACCCCAGTCCCCGGGAAAAAGGCGCTATATTCAAGCGAAAAATCACTACTTACGCCTTGGCGCTTCGGCGGAGTCAGCTGAAGGCTCGATTTTGCTTCGATCTTCCAACAACTCCTCGTCCTACAGTTTAGACAGAGGGTGAAAGCAGGGGCGAGAAATATTAGCTGCACGGATTCGCCCCAATGTAGCCTGATTGGCCACATCGCATCGATTAAAACAAACATCCGCGGTTGAGTCAAAAGAGCCACAACCGAAAATGAATGAAAGCAACCACACGGGAAGACGCCTAGACAAAACTGCGGGGCATGACAAACGCACAAGAGGGCGTATCTTTTAATTACGGCAAAGCCGGGAATGAGAAGGGCTTTTGAAATGAATTCTGCAGAAATCAAGAGGTTAAGAGTGAAAACAAGGAATCACGCAAATTTGTCAAAACAATTCTTGCATGCCACGGGGACTGTGCGCAATGCAAAGTACCCATCAACAAGGAGAGTGGACTAGGATGGGATACGCTTGAGCCATCAAGTGATTGGGCTGTCGCCTAATCCATGTGGCAAACAATCAATACGTTTGCCTGCACAATCAGAAATCCGATGATTTTTCGTCAAAAACTGCTGTTTTTAGCCCCACAACCTGGTGGCCTGTTGTAATAGCTAAATTCCAATCATAACTTCAACGACATGATTGAAGTACTATGTTCACATGTGAGTAAAAGTTTGCCTGTGCAATCAAAGGCCCACACATTATAAACACACACTCAATCGGTGGATGGTGCACACTCGCGTAGGCATGAATTTAAACAATCATGCTGGGGATAACAGCAATGCAACTTACGGTATATACGAGGCCAAGATCGTAGGTCTTCAAAGAGTAAATTTCATGAGTGTCTAGACAGAAGGGGGTAAGGGAAGTTAAGCTGCTTGTTCAGCTTAATTACAGCCAATTTTCAAAAACCTCAGAAGCAGTTGGGCTGTAGTGAAGTACACGTTAAAAAAGGGCATACCGGTTAAGTCGCCAGTTGCAGCGGAAACTCCGAGGTAGTAACCGGTGGGTAAATGAACACCGCCGACCTCGAAACACGACGCCCATTGGTTCTGATTATCGATGTCCATCGAAACCTGGAAGTAAAACGCACCAATGGAAGTACAAGATTTACAAACGCGACACGTTAGCCTCTTCTGGGATATTACACATTCCACGTTTGATTGCATGAAAATGCACAAGAAGGTAGAAAAAAGAAGCAACAGACACACCTAACGTGCAAGAAATCGATATTATGGAGGATTCTGGTTTCCAATAATCTAGTACTAAAAGTCCGGCTTTGACTTAACACAGAAAATCTACTCCTGCTTCTTCCTTACTTTAAGGGTATTGCGAGAATACTGGATGAGTGCCTTGGTTTTGTGCTTTTTGTTTCTGAAAGGAGAATGGCAGCCAGCCAATTGGGTTTGCGTCCCGTCGTGGTCGTGGTCGTACGCAATTGAGCCGTTGCTGACCATTGCACTCACGTAGGGGTGTTCGTGGTCGTGTTCGCCGTTGTGGTTGCTGTAGGTGTCAAAGAAAACACCCAAACCCCGGAATTTCACCTCTGCTCCAAGTGCTGGACCTAAGAATCAAAATCCTACAGTTAGACAAATATCTTGAAATTGTAAGGGTGGTGAGGTTTCAATTGGATGTTGGATTTCAGTAGAAGTGAAAGCACCGTTGGATCTAGGTATTCCAGCGCGAAGACGCACAATTACGTAAACACCTAGGCAGATTTCATACGGCTAATATCGCAATTTTATTGGTTAGGGGTTTCAGGTGCCTGAAAATACTAACAAAACACAACCACGACTTCAACTAACTGAATTATCGATTGAAGGGAATCCATAATTACCTAAGGAAGCATTGTAACAACAATTCTGACAAGCAGCATCAAAAAATTATAAAATTACACGTGCGTATTGGTAAAAACTGTCTTATTTTAAGCAAGTTTGCCTGAAAACGACTTCAGCCAAGGCTAGAAATATGAATGATGGTTTGGAAATCAAGGTATTCGGACAAAATCAATCGGGGTTTAAAAAATGCAGCCCATGTGCACAGTGAACTTTGGCATGCTCTAGTAAGTGCAAGACTCGCAAACAAAGCAAGTGTACTGAACACCAACCTGGCTTAATGGGATGTTCTGTGTACCAGAAGGCGAAACCATCGCCATAAAGGGAACCGGTCGAGCCAGACACCTCGAAGTCAATTATGATTTCCCAGTCACGTAAAAGGAGAGGGTACACATTTGAAACACCCGCCATAGAACCAGGCTGATCGGTTGTCAGCCGGATAACACTTGGGGTGAAAATAGTAGTACCGTAAGAGGTCCATCCACCTTAAAAGTAGTCAAGAACAGCAGGGGCGGTCATTATTGACGTCGAAATAGGTGTGATCAAAAGAATTATGTAGATGAAAAGTAACATTTATTGGGCTTTATTGCTACTGAAAAGTTTTGTCACAGGCATTTCAAAATGCTAGAAGCATACATTCAACACCAAACATTACACTGAACTAGGAGAAGGGAAGACTCCCTTTCCAAGATAGTGGTGGAAATAAAAATTTTGCAAGTACAATTGCAACATTACCAGCACCTCTTGATATGAAGCAAAATATTAAATGTGCTGTTTATAAAAATAATCCAATATTTCAAATTTACCCGTATATGGTGGAAAGAGGGAATGGTCACGTCTTTGGAACTTATCACCTTGGACTACCGAAAGAAGGAAGAGACAAAGGAAGTACCATAGTGTCCCCATTTTAAATATGGTTCATGAGAATTTCAATCTAGAAGACAAGTGTAAAACAAGCAAAGTATTAACAGAATCCAATGTGAAAATCCTTCCGAACTATGCCAAAGTGATATCAAAAACCAAAATCAAAAAATCATAACAATTATATCTGTCCACATGTACCACCTTTAATTATGACAAAGTTTATCAAAAGAACTTATTCCAGGGAAGCTATATTTACCATATGTAAGCACCAGAATCTAATAAAGGTGACATTACAGCAAAATGTAACTAGCACTTCACTGCCATGTCACATAAACATGGGATAAATACTACGGAGAGGTGAATTTGTTCAACAAAAATCCTTTGGTGGTACTAGACACGGTAAAGCAATAGAAGATTGAACGGTAAGTTATTTAAACTAGGCTCTAGGATTTTTTAATGCTTGTCTACGCACCATAGTGAAACAGAAGAATTTTCAGTTTAGAAACACCGAACATACCGAGAAAGTCTTCGAAAATGACGTCAAAGGTAGTGCGACTGACGTGGGCTCACATAAAGTATAAAAAGAT